TCTCTTGCATGATCTATCCGGTGTCGATTTTGAAGAGGCTGCAGATTAGGTTAGAGAGATGGGACGTCTGCGATGGCTTGGTCGTTTTGAAGGAGTTGATTATGCACCACCAGGACATTATACGGTGAGTTTATCATCTCCGTAGAGGCCCAAGAATTCAACAATTGGATATTCTATCCAAAAGCGCAAAAAATGTACGGATTGTATTAGAAAGAGGACACTTAGTTCGACGAGAGTCTTTGATATTGCACTTCAGTGTCTGATATTTCATAACTGGGGGTGTTGCCTCCTTCAGTCACATAATTCGTAGTTGGTTGGTTTTGATTAGGTCACTTCCGTCTTGTCTTCGATAATCGAAGCTTTCTTATAGAGTTCAAGATAAAAAATAAATTATAATACTTAATACAAAACCGTTATTGTTTGTTATTGTATCATTTCACAAAATAAGAATACAAATGTCGCTCTTAAGATGAAGAAATTCCATTTTCTGCTAATTTAGAAGTGAACTTTATGCTTATCCTAGCTTACATCGTTGCCGAATGATGAGACCAAACTTCCGGATGCTGTTGTTCCTCCTTCGATTGCTTTGGGTACACAAATTACAAACAAAAAAAACTTATCATTTTGCCCTGCCATGATGTGCGCACATCACAAAAGTATTTAGGATATTTATGAGAGAATAAAATTCGATTCCTTATAGCATATAATCTGGATCAGTTTTCTACCGAGCTACTTTCCTTCTGTACCGGTCTGTACTTCTTTAATCTTAACGGTGACTGAGATCTTTACCAATGTTTATGTCCTTTTTAGCGCCGCCCCACTCAGTCGGTATAAAAGCAGGTACAAAAAAGAATGCGAACCAGTTTCAGTTAACCTCCGAAGAATCGACGAAAGAGAGGGAAAAATTGACAAATACATGTTTCTAGCTACGATGTCATGATGATTTTCAATAGCACAGTAAAAATAGTAACGAGTCGTTGCTGTGATAAGTTTAATTATCAATATTTCCTTAAAGATCTTCATTGTCTTAATTACCCCTCTATAGTATAGTACTAATGGCAACAACTAACGACAAAATAAAAAAGATCAAGTGTTTTGTCACGCTGTTGAAAGATTTTCCCGCCCACCATAGCTATAGCAATTTCGTCAGTTAAGTATTTGGGGTTATCGAGTGCCAAAGATATAAATAACAACGCACATTCGGAGGAGTTGAATATTTTGTTTGGTATACCTCAAGCTTCCATACTTGGTTATGAAGCTTATGAAGATTTATGGTGTATGATTTCGATATTGTTCACGAATTATCTGGCGAACACAAATCACTGCGAATAAAATAAAAATTCGGGCTTTGGAAAGTAAAATCAAGATTAATCAAGTAAAAAGTTACATGATTATCTCTAATTGTAATAAATAAGCATTCCTTAAAAGTTGTCGAAAAGCTTACAGTCTCTAATTCTATCATTATTCAATCATTGCAATTTCAGATTCATAAAAATGTGCCACGGACTACACAGAACGCTTGTGCTCGCTTGATATTCAATGTAAAAAGGCGCGATCATGTTTTCCATAAAATCCAGCACCTATAGTGAATAATAGCGACACCAAACATAGCTGGTGGTTATTTGAATGCGTTGCAGGATTTATTTAAAACACAAAGCTTTAACTCATGCGGTAAATATCCGCTAAATACAATTTACCCCATATTCATCTGTTCCAAATGAATTTAAACTTTTTAAGTTTCTTAAATTGAAATACAAATTAAACCATTATCCTTTTTTAGGCTGGGCTGACCTAGTATTATGCAAAAAATGTTATTAGAGGTTTTCAATACTTGGTTAACTATCACTTAGTAATTGTTATAAGCTCATTGGCAATTATAATGTATTATTAGTTTTTCAGTCCGTGAAGATTTATTCAAAAAGTATTAACCTTTTTGTCATGTGGTTTTTAGCAATTATGTAGACATAATTTAATTTATATATATTTTACTTAATTCGGATTTTTTAAGGCTACTTAATTATTATTTTTCTCAACGTGTTAGTTGGAGTTTTAAATGACCCCATTTAAAAAAAAAATTAATTTCAATTAAATTAGTTAAATTAAATGAAATTAATTAAATTAAATTTAATTTAATTTTAATTAACCAAGAAAAAAGTTAAACCTTTATTCCTAGCTGGAACGGCTTGGCATATTAATTACATAAAGATCCTGAAATGTGTGCATTTCATCTCTGTTTTGATTAATATAACATTATTAGTGTCAACCAACTGCAATTTCAGAACTTAATTAGAATTACCTTTTGCCAGTGTGTATTATTACTTTTTCAGCCCGTCAGGATTTTAACCTTCAACTTTTTCAAAAAGTATTAGCTTCTTTGTCATGTGGTTTTTAGTAGTTATGTAGACATAATTTAATTTATATATATTTTACTTAATTCGGATTTTGTAAGGCTACTTAATTATTATTTTTCTCAACGTGTTAATTATAGTTTTAAATCACTCCATTTAAAACATTTTTTAATTTTAATTAAATTAATTAAATTAAATTAAATTAATTTTAATTTTAATTAACCAAGAAAGAAGTGAAACCTTTATTCCTAGCTGGCGCGGCTTGACATATTAATTAAATAAAAATCCTGAAATGTGTGCTCTCTGTTTTGATTAATATAACATAATTAGTGTCAACCAATTGCAGTTTACCAACTTAATTAGAATTACCTTTAAATATGCATCCTCTCACGCGGACGCTCCTTTTGCCGATGGGTGTTATTACTTTTTTAGGCCGTCAGGATTTTAACTTTCAACTTTTTCAAAAAGTACTAGCTTTTTTGTTATGTGGTTTTTAGCAGTTATGTAGACATAATTTAATTTTTATATATTTTACTTAATTCGGATTTTTTAAGGCTACTTAATTATTATTTTCCTCAACGTGTTAATTAGAGTTTTAAATGACCCCATTTAAAAAAAAATAATTTCAAATAAATTAATTAAATTAAATTAAATTAATTAAAGTAAATTAAATTAAATTAAATTAAATTAAATTAAATTAAATTAATTAAATTAAATTAAATTAAATTAAATTAATATTAATTTTAATTAACCCAAAAAAAGTTAAACCTTTATTCCTAGCTGGCGCGGCTTAACATATTAATTAAATATCCTGAAATTTGTGCTCTATGTTTTGATTAATATAACATAATTAGTGTCAACCAATTGCAATTTATCAACATAATTAGAATTACCTTTAAATATGCATCCTCTCAAGCGGACGCTCCTTTTGCCAGTGTGTGTTATTACTTTTTTAGGCCGTCAGGATTTCACTTTCAACTTTTTCAAAAAGTATTAGCTTTTTGTCATGTAGCTTTTAGCAGCTACCAAATTTCGATTTTTTGAAGCTCCTTAATTATTATTTTCCTCAATGGGTTAGTCGGAGTTTTAAATGGGGTATTTTAATGAACCAAGAAAGAAGATAAACCTTTATTCCTAGCTTGCGCAGGTTGACATATTCATTAAATAAACAACCGGAAATGTAACAAAAGGAGTACAATTCATCTCTGTTTTGATTAATGTATCATAATTAGTGTCAACCAATTGCAACTTAACAATTTAACTAGAATTACCTTTAAATATGCATCCGTCCTGTTGATGACTGATGACACTGAAAACAAAATAAATAATTTAGTCGCAACCTCTGCGCTGAAAGCAATAAACCACTTCCTATAAATACAGGCGACACTGAAGTCGAACCCTTTAATTTGCGTAATAATAGGGCGGCACTGGAAACAATGCGCGGGGTGGATAAAACTTTGAAACGCTCGCTTTGGTTTTAAAAGCTACGCATTCGACGTCGTTCTGCCAGAGTGCGGAGAACAATGACAAATGGATATACGAAAAACGGGACCGATCTTGAACCACGCCAGATTCTGTATGATCTTGGCAGGTATATGGCCGTTGGCAGTACCCACGCAAAAGCCGATACCTCGCAAAGCATATGCCGTCTATTCCGGACTCGTGAGGATCTACTTCCCGACGTTTTTGGTATCTTTGTGCCTGGAGTTTGCCCTTTCTACATCAGTGGACAACAACGCCGAGAAAATATTCTCCCAACTGACGACAATCAGTTTGCTGATCGCCGGAATCGCCGCCTTACGTTATCAAACTAAAAACTTTAAAGAAATTATTGTTTACATAACGAAGGACGATAAGGATGTAAAGAAATCGGTGAACAAGGAGATGGCGAGATGTCACTTAGAGCAGGTGCGGTTTTGCTCGAAGGCTTGTTGGGCCATAACGATTATGACAATCGGAGGTACTACGTCGATTTGTCTGGAGAACTTTATTAGGAGATTAGAGATCGAGCAGTACAACAATAACCACAACGAGAGCTTGGATAAGCCGTTCGCCTATGAGTTATATTTCTACAATGTCAACAAAGAGAAACATAACAGCGTACTTATGATTGTTAACAACGTGTCGGTGATAATCAATAGCCTCTTGGTGGCCTCGACGAAGATCGTATTCTTCTCTTGCATCATCTACCCCGCTTCGATCTTGAAGAGGCTGCAAATTCGGTTCGAAAGATGGGAGGAAGACCGTGGAGGCTGCCTCTTAGTAGCTTTGAAGGACCTCGTCCTCCAACATCAGAACGTTATAGCGTGAGTATAGCCCCAGCAACGTAATATGCAAATCAGATGAGCACATGAGAACAAAGTGGACATTTTGGAAAATACTGAATGAGATGAGGCTCGTCGATAGAGAAGGAAATTATCTGGAATCGACCAGCAAGTTGTTTTTGATACCTGCAGGTCTTGGAGGGCGAATAACTTTTAAAAATCGCTGAATCGTAGGGTTATTATCAAAAACTCGGAATTTATAATGTTCGAATCTTCAATTTTCGTTATTATTAGTGGCTCAGGTTCGCATTAAAATTAAAATTTCTTTAAAATTCTAAGTTTGCGTCTCAGTTATTTTCGTCAAAACTAAAGGATTGTTTTTTTTTAGGTTTATTACAAAATTGAATGGATCGATTAAGTACCTCATTTTTATGGAGTTCCTGCTTAACTCCTTGAATATAGCCGCAGTCTCGATTCAGTTTATAACGGTAAGAATAACATATGAAAGAAACGAGCTTCTCAATTTTGTCATGAAAAAGTCAATCATAATAGTATCACTTTAAAAATATAAGCGCAGAACGTACTGAACTGTTGTTTAATGTCATGATACAAAGTGATCAAAAACTAACTGCAGTAAAAATTTAAATAAGGAAATCCTTAAGAGTCATTTTTTGAACTGCATAGTTTTGACGTATTTCGCTAATAAAAAAGAATTTCTTTATCAAAATGTTGTACATTTTTTTAAATCAGCACTACACAATGGTCACTATTGTGACTGTGAGTTTAGAAATCAGTGTTGGACAGTTTTATGTCACATAACTTAGTCGTTTTCCATCGCTTTGCTAAAAATATAGGATTGTCCAATTAATAGCATTTCAATCAACGTTATATTATGTATATTTCAACTTTTACAACCTTTCGCGAAGTGTAAAGTGCAAACGCTTTTCAAAATATTTAAAATGTTTTATTTTGAAAAGGAAACACTGCTGAGTCAATTTTCATTAATATTTTTAATGTTACTTTTTGACCACCTAGCAATTATTTATTTTTAAAATATCAACCACCAAAGTAAATCCTAATCTATAAGAAAGTTAAAACCAAAAATATAACAAACACGTTCACTCAGAAATCGATAAATATATTTAAACCTGAAAATATGACAGGAACGGTAACAAGAAAGGTTCCTAGGAATCCAAAAATGCTTTAATATACAAGTCAATTCAAGGAACTTTCATCTTCAAAGTGTTTTTGATATTTAGGTTGTGAGATAAAATGTCGTCACGAACGCCCTGTCCGATACAACTGCTGAATTTGGAAAACAAACATTTATTTATAAATTTCATTTAAAATTTGTCTCCATTATCCATAACGATTTTAGACTGAACTGTAGAATTAACTTTAACGTGAAGTAACTGACGAAACACTCTTTGCAGTTCGAAAAGACCATGCTGGCGTCTCCGATACTATTTTTCGGCATTTTATTTACCCAGACTTTTGTACTCGGCTGGAGTGCCAACGAAATCAAAGTCCAGGTAATTCACATTAGAATCTTTTAGACTGCCCTCGTCTCTTATCGCATCTTGTTTATTGAAACGGTTGTTTATTGCAGAGCTTGATGCTAGCGGATGCCCTGTATCGCAGTCCGTGGTACGAACAAAACGAGACGGTGAAAAAAATGGTACTGACAATGATAATGCGCGCGCAAACGCCGCTGGTTCTGACCATTGGGCCGTTCGACGCGATGACGACGCAATCGGCTCTCGCGGTAGGCAACTAGTTGTACTCATCTGAGAGAAACACGCAAAATCCATTTGTTATATTGCAGATAATGAAGGGATCATACTCCTACGTCAGCGTAATGTTAAATAACTACCAGTGAATATATTATTAATATTATTAATTATTGTATTGTTACTAATAATAACAGCTAACTCAACCGTGTTTGCTTTTAATATTCGAGACAAACAAATATTCACTACTCATACTTTAAATTATTTCTAATAGGATAACTCCCAGAATTATTCTTTCCCTCCCGCTGAATTTTCCGGAAAAATAATTGAAACATCAAAAAATGCTCAAAACTGAGCCACTATTCAATATTAGTGAGGCTACTTTTTCAGTCTGCAATATTTGGTACTTGTGTAGTGGGAGTCAATTTAAGTGCATCTTTGATTGCTTGTTGTTAAATTACGATCGGTAGAGGTGATCGAATGAACGGTGAACGAATACTCACACCAGAAAGCGTCCGCACAGTTTTTTACAACAAGAATATTTTCAATTTCCATTTCGTTATCTGTTTATATGAGAAAACTCATGCAAACCGCAGAAATACTTCTGGCGTTGATAAACCATCCGATTAACATCAACAATTGCTTTTATACCTTTGTTCACCCACCTAAACTAAAAACAGAACAGAACAAGATAATATCCGTAAAGTTATTCAGTAGATATAAACACGCAAAACAAAGCCCACCCTTTCATTTGCATAATGATAAGACAGGGCTACACAAAAAGCGTGTGGTAAAGAAAATGAAGTACAATAAAATGGTCGATTTACTTTTGAAATCTGCAATTGGCGAGAGACCGTTCTTCCTGCTGCTCCGGCCGTGAATACTCAAAAACAGAAATACTTGGACGAATCTGAATCGATTCTGACTGGAACCCTGCAGACGTTTCGCCAAAATCTCACTTGGCATCTTCAATGCTCGCCCTCTGAAAACACTTGAAACACTCGGAGGTTATCGGCAATGCGTGCGGTACTTATACCCTGCGCCGGAGGTGCTAACGGTGCTGCTTGTGCGGGAGGGGAAGTGGCTCCGCCCCCCGAATTGTTGGCTGCTGCGTATCGCTCTGCCGTTCGATTATCGTTCTCCACGTATTGGATAAATGTATAAGGTTGTCTCTCGTATTCAGGTGTCCGGACTTTTCTATCTCGATGGCCTCTCGTATAATCCTGCTCCTAAAGTCAGAAATATTTGTTAGCAAGTACCGAAATCAATTTTATGACCTGATTGGTGTTGGTGCTGAAACAAAGCAGATGTTGTTTGTTTGTTTCTTATGTCTAAATGATGTTCTTCGAGCCTGGCTCAAATCCTTCTGCTGGTCCGTCCCACATACATCAGGCTGCACGATCCGCATGCTCCTTGGTTGTCCAGAGTATTTTTTTGTTTGGGGTTTCTTAGTATTGCTCCAATAGTATGATCAGATTTGTAGGCCGCTATTGTTTGCTGATTGCCTTGCTGATGATACGCCTTTGGTAGCCGTTCTGTCGAAGACAGGTACTAATTTTCTTCGGTCCATCATCTCTGTTCTTCTCGTTCATGAATCTGAAGGACCGAGAAATTAATGTATTTGCCACTGCCTGTCTCTGTGATGCGTGGTGATGAGATTTAGCGTTCAGATATCTATTAGTGTGTATTGGTTTCTATAGACAGCAGTTCCAAGTGTCCAGCTTCGGTCCTTGTAATGTGCACATCTAAAAAGGGCAGACTGTTATCCTCTTCAAGTTCTATTGTAAATTGAATCCTTGGGTGAATAGAATTCAGATGATCTAGGAATTTCAAAAGCTCCTCCTTGCCAAAAGGCCATACAACAAATACGTCATCAACGTATCTTGTCCATAGTTTTGGCTTCAGATTTGCCTTCTCTATTGCTTTCTTTTCGAAGTAAATCATGAAGAGGTTGGTAACTACAGGTGAGAGAGATGATCCCATTGCTGCTCCATCTACTTGTGGGTATGTTTTTTCGTTGTACATAAAGTAACCTTTTTGCAAGCAGTGTGTAGTTGATCCATTATGTACGGCGGAAAATCCTCGTTTTCTTCTATAAGCAGGAGTGCCTCCTCAACTGGAACGCTCGCAAATATAACAACATTTATTACTATTACTGATAGCTGTTTGTCATCAGATTAACATACTATTGAGGCGCCTTGATGATGTGGAAAAGAAAACACAAGGAAACAAAATGTAATAAAATAGTTGCTGATTTTAAAAATTGCTATAGTTTTTAAGATGTGCGTTAATTGAATGAAATAAATATATACTTAATGGTCAGAATAGTATGAGTATTATGAGTATGCTAAAGTTGTGGAGCGAGTGCTTAATAAACCAAAAAGTTCAGCAAATGTGTACTATACCTTTCCTACGAGCTTTAGTTTTTAGGTACCTTTTTGCACAACGACAGGAATAGATTCATGACCGTCAGAATTGACAAACGTCAAAATTCAAGAGGTAGGAAATATCTCCGAAAACATCGTATTGCTCCCAAACCCGTGTCGTAATATCCCGGAATTGTCCGAAATGGCTCGGATCCGTGGAAAACGAAACGTGGTAAAATGTAGTATTGGCGCTCGCTAATCAATTCAATTCCATTATTTAGTGATATTCCTTTCCTTTCACTAGATTTTGTCGGGAAATACGCGAAACTTATCCTACCGACTGCGCCACTATTATTTTAACGACAAAAGGCAGGATGTTCTTCTATTTTTATTCTATTTTTTTTTAAGTGAGAAAGTGCATTAAAGCCCCATAAACATTTTTAAGGCACTATCGCAACAGTGCTAACGGCGTTGATAAAGCATCTGACAGAAATCAACTATGGCATTATTACTCACCTTAACAAAGGACAGGATAGATAAAAACATCTTGAAAGCATCCTTCTAAAAGAAATCGTAATACGAACAATCCCTACAACTAATCCAGTACACAAAGGCGAGCGAAACACGCAAGGCAAAGCCAACCCTTTCATTTGCATAACGATAGGGCGGCACTAGACAGAAAATATGGGGTAAGGGAAATGGAAAATAATGAAATCGTCGACTTGCTTCTTATATCGCTGCAATCGGTGAGTGGCCGTCGTTCCTGTCGATCCGCCCAGTTATGTATCCTCAAAAACAAAAAGACGTCGACAAATCTGAACCGATTCTGAATCAATCGAGATTCTGTATGATTTTGGCGGGCATCTGGCCGCTGGAGTTGCCCACGCGACACTTAATCTTGCACAAAGCATACGACTTCCACTCCAAATTCGTGAGAATCTTCTTCTCGATATTTCTGGGTTTGCTTTCCCTGGAGTTCGCGCTCAAGACTATCGACGGGAAAAATACTGACCAAATATTACCCCAGCTATTCTACATGATAGCGATGGTGATTGTAGCCGTTGCCGCATTGCTTTACCAACGAGATGATTTCAAAGAAATCATAACACGTATAATGGAGGATGATAATGAGATAAGATCCTCGAGAGACAGGGTGATGAGACGGTGTCATTTAGAACAGGCGCGGTTTTGTTCAAAGGCTTGTGTGGCTATAGCGATCCTGACTTTCGGTGCTGGTACCTCGATATATCTTGAAAATATTTGGAGGAGATACGAGATCGACCGGTACAATAAACACCACAACGAGAGTTGTGGACAAGGAGAAGCACTTGAGCTTACTGCTTATTGTCAACAACGTATCGGTGATAATCAACGGGCTGTTGGTTGCCTCTACGAAGATAGTTTTCTTCTCTTGCATCATCTATCCTGCGTCAGTCTTGAAAAGGCTGCAGATTAAATTCGAGAGATGGAAAGTCGACGAGAGGTGCCTCTTGGAATCTTTGAAGGAGCTAGTTATACAACACCAGAAAGTTACCATGTAAGTTAATTTTCAGGAGTTGTAGCTTGACGGTCAACAAATTAAAAACAAGCGAAAACCCAGTGACAAATCATGCCATTTGGTCACTTTAAAAGATGATAAGATAAAGAAAGATTGAATATCATTAAACACCCAGTAGAACAGAGAGTATGAATTGCAAGACAAGTAAATGTTCTTGTATATCACTTTTTCCCCCACAGTGCTTTCTTGAAATTCTTAGTTGCAGAATTACCATGAAAACGACAATAAAAGTGGTTATCTAACTAAAGTTATGCCTCGATGCCGGCGGTTTAACAGGCTTGTCTCTAATTTGTTGAACCTTACGAGCAAGTGGGTTTCAAAACGGTTTTTTAGTTTTATTTGCAAACTGAACGACTCTATAAAGTGCCGCCGTCTCAGTTCAGTTCATAACGGTAAGGGTTAACCTGTACGTAGGGTAAAGTTATGAAAATTTTTATCAATCATTAGTGATTGAAATGCTTAACAGTTCAAGCAACTGACTAATGATCCACAGTTCAGTTTCCCGAATATCTTTTACTAAGAAATCAATGAAATCAAAGTAATTGAAAATGCCAAAAATACCAGTTAGCATGTTAACGTATTCTGTCTAGGGAAAATAAGTCCTTGAGGTCTTAAAGTATTAAATTACTTACAGTTGGAGGAAAACATGTTAGCGTCACAGATAATATTTTTCTGCCTGATATGCGCGCAAACTTTTGTACTCGGTTGGAGCGCCAATGAAGTTAAAGCCCAGGTAGACTAAGGCAGCATTGCCACATCTAATGTAATAGTTCATTATTAGGGATTAATAGGATAGCGACACCATTTGAGAACCACTTTTTCTATTGCAGGTAATGAAGGAATCGTACTCCTACATCAGTGTCATGTTGAATAATAACAAGTGATTATATATTTTTTATATTTTTATTGTCATTACGTAATTTATTATAATTATGCATTATTATTAAATATAACCGACTAGAGACACACAACAGACTGTTTTCGTATCAAATTTAATAATGAAATTTTAATATTGCTTCATCTTCATCAACGCTTCATCTTCAACCGGATATATTATGTCACGTACGCATAAGATGTGTTGATGGTAGGAAAAGGGAAACACAGAGTAACAAAATCAAAAACTCTACAAATAATAATTAGTCTAATATGCAGGGTATCCCGAAATTTTAACCACGTATTCTGTAACCCAAAATGAAGATAAAAGTTCATATAAACTAGGGTCCAAAACGTCTTAGTTTTTAATATACAGGGTGTTAAATTTGAAGAGGTGATGGCGGTTTTTTGTAAATATTTTCGAAACGCGTAAATATTTTTAAATAAAATTTGGTACAGTTACTAAATTTTTCAGGCTCTATTTAATGAACTATAAGTTAGTAATGGATTATCTGCAGGGGTGGGTAACACAGGGGAGGCATGGGAAAAATTTGGCCCAAATTTTTTGTTTGTTTGTTTTGAAGTTTTCTGTGTCGTATCTCGCCAGAACACACAGTTTTCGAGAAAATTGCTTTTGAAAATTTAATTTCAAATTATTTTTTTATTTTATTGTTTATAATCGAGGTGCAGATAATCATTAGTAAGCCTTTCATTTGTTTGTGTTGTTGGAGTTTAGTAACTGTACCAAATTTTATTTAAAAACGAGACGTTTTGGACCCTAGTTTATATGAACTTTTATCCTTATTTTGAGTCGCAAAATACGTGGTTAAAATATTGACGTCTAATTTCGGGACACCCTGTATAACTGAAATTGATTGGGCAGCGTGATGTCTTCGATAGAAAAAAAATCTATTTGTAAGAAAAGCTAAAAGCTGGTTATGTTTAACTTACTACATTACTCAAATAAGGCAACTTGGTCAACATCCTCAATTCAATCCATACTGAATCCTAAGGCGTGATGTTCATTTATTCTAATAGTACAAAATGTTCTTGGTAATCATAAAACAAAAAGTTACATAGAATTAGTGAAAAGTATGCCTTCAAATTTTAATATTCTCGGTTGTAACATGAATATAAGAGTTGACTACCTCCACAGCCACATAGATCGCTTCCCAGAAAACTTAGGACATTATGGAAGATTGTTATCAAGAACGATGAAATCGACACATGACGACCGACCACTGCCCTAAGAAAATTTATTCTAGAAGGCAATTTAAGATAAATATTTTAATTAAATACAAATGTAGGTAAATCTAGTTTTTGTGATAAATACTTAACTACAATAGCAATATAAAAGTTATAACATAAAATATACACAATCAAAAAATATAAATTCACAAATATAACATATCTCAAAAACTAGATCTGATAGATAAAATCTGAGGACTCTTGCATGCTGCTGCAATCAAGACACCAGAGAATATTTTAGAAGCGAAATTTACCGCTAAACCTGATTCAGATTGTTCTGCTGATATAATATGTTCGCCCTGGAATAATAAAAGAACATTGAAACTGGATATAGGAATAGGAAGTAAGGCAATTATCTACTAAGAGTAATATTACACTAATTTTCATTACAAGGCTGCTTAGATTTGAAAGTATTGCAAATTGACAGTTGTAGAATTATATTTCCTAATATTAGTGATATTGAGAAATATTTGAGTATTAGAGTGCTTTCCAGGTGAACACGAAATTGTGTTCAAAAACGATGCTGTATACCTCAAGAATCAAAATTAAGTTGAATGATTTCGATTGTCAAGGCATAATTAGGAAAGTCGACAAGCCAACCTAGTGGCTTAATCCATTGGTGGTCGTTAATAAAAAAAAAAGGAGACTTGAGGTTATGTCTGGATCCAAAAAAATTAAATGGAAATATTCAAAAGGAACATTTCCTGATTCCGACAGCCGACATAATTGCTAGCAAACTGAGTAATGAAGCATTTTTCACGGTCTTAGACATAAAAAATGGCCACTTTCAAGTCAAAATAGATGACCAATTAGTTTTACTGTACATTTTGTCGCTATCTATTTTGCAGGCCACCTTTCGGAATAGTGTCCGTCCTCGAAGTATTTCAGAAAAAAAAATTTGAGCTTCTTGGTGACTTGCATAAAGTAGATATATATTTTTATAATCTGATTATTATTGGAAATTCCGAAGCTGAATATGATAATAATTTAAAAATGGTATTAGAGCGAGCCTCTAAATATAATATCACATTTAATAGGGGCAAAATTCAATTTAGATCAAGTGAAATTCAGTTTTTAGGTGAAGTATTCTCAAAAGATGGTGTTAAACAATGTCAATCATATGTTAAAGCAATTATTGACATGCCTCGACTTCAAAATAAGACAGATCTTTTGAGACTACTGGGAATGTCAAAATTTGTAGGCAAGTTTACACCAAATATGTCGAAGGTTACGGCTCCGTTACGAAATTTGACCCGTACTGATATTCAGTTTGTGTGGACAACTGAACATGATGTACCCTTAAGGGAACTCAAACATTTATTAGCAAAAATTACAATTTTGTCATATTCAGTTTGTGTGGACAACTGAACATGATGTACCCTTAAGGGAACTCAAACATTTATTAGCAAAAATTACAATTTTGTCATATTCAGTTTGTGTGGACAACTGAACATGATGTACCATTAAGGGAACTCAAACATTTATTAACAAAAATTACAATTTTGTCATATTCAGTTTGTGTGGACAACTGAACATGATGTATCATTAAGGGAACTCAAACATTTATTAAGAAAAATTACAATTTGGTCATATTCAGTTTGTGTGGACAACTGAACATGATGTATCATTAAGGGAACTCAAACATTTATTAACAAAAATTACAATTTTGTCATATTCAGTTTGTGTGGACAACTGAACATGATGTACCCTTAAGGGAACTCAAACATTTATTAGCAAAAATTACAATTTTGTCATATTCAGTTTGTGTGGACAACTGAACATGATGTACCCTTAAGGGAACTCAAACATTTATTAACAAAAATTACAATTTTGTCATATTCAGTTTGTGTGGACAACTGAACATGATGTACCATTAAGGGAACTCAAACATTTATTAAGAAAAATTACAATTTGGTCATATTCAGTTTGTGTGGACAACTGAACATGATGTATCATTAAGGGAACTCAAACATTTATTAACAAAAATTACAATTTTGTCATATTCAGTTTGTGTGGACAACTGAACATGATGTACCATTAAGGGAACTCAAACATTTATTAACAAAAATTACAATTTTGTCATATTCAGTTTGTGTGGACAACTGAACATGATGTACCATTAAGGGAACTCAAACATTTATTAACAAAAATTACAATTTTGTCATATTCAGTTTGTGTGGACAACTGAACATGATGTATCCTTAAGGGAACTCAAACATTTATTAGCAAAAATTACAATTTTGTCATATTTTGATCAGGATGGCCTTGGTTCAGTCCTGTTGCAAAAAATCCTAGGAGGCTAACCAAAAGTGAGTGCAATTATGCTCAAATTGGGATAGAAAATTTTGGCAATTTTATTTAGCAGTCAAAAGTTTCATTATTTTATTTATGGTGTCAAAGATATACAGGTTCATTGAGATCACAAACCGTTAAAAGCAGAAAAATCTTTATTCACCACGACTTCAGCGAATACTGCTTCAATTATTAGACTATGACCTCATATAAACCAGGTATATATTTGCATATAACAGATACTTTGTTCAGAGCATTTTTAAAAGAACCTGATTTAAACACTGAATTTTCTCAAGATTTTCTCTCACTAATTACTTATCAATTACCAATCTTCACTAAATTTAGGGATGAATTATCAATTTCTGACGGCTTACTGTTTTACGGTTATAAATTGGTGGTGCCTAACCAACTCAAACATGAGATGTTAGTTAAACCGCATAGAGGGCACCTTGGCATTGAAAAATTCACAGCTCGTGCTCGACAAATTTTTTACTGGCCTCTCACTAATCAAGATATTGAAAACAATTGTATGAAAAGTATGCTAATAGAAATGAAAATGAAAGCCTAATGTCGTATCGAGTTACAGATCGTCCGTGGCGGCGTATCATATCTTGTAGCAATGGATTCATACTCTAACCGCTTAGAGAAAATGTCATTAAAAAAATAAATCTGCTGAAAATGCATTTTTTCTAAATTTGGATTCCCAGAAACAATAGTTGCAGATAATATTCTATTTAATAGCTATATTTTTAAAAATTTTCATTATCCTAAACCAAATGGCCTTGCAGAAAAGGCCGTCGACATTAGTAAAGCAATGGTTAAAAAGCGTTCGAAGAGGGCGAAGATATATTTGAAAGTTTAATGCAGTTAGAACTAAACTTTATTATAATAAAACAGCTAAGAATTTAAAGCCCTTGGAGCCTAATCGAAATGTATCGGTTTTTAACCACAATAATTATTCGTGGGAGTGTAGTAAACTCGTTAACGTCGCACACAATCCTAGATCATACAATGTGTTAGATGGTATTTAAAAAGTTCTTTAAATGAATGCAATCCATTAGCGAATAAGGATTTTGACTTTGAAAAATTGACGCTAACCTTTTGATAATTCCCTTAGTTTAATGTTTAAAAAGGGAAGATGTTATTTGTTGTTTTATATAGTATTACTGTAGACAACCATTGTGACATCTAGTGTGCATTGTTACCAAGATGTCGCTATAAACAAGTAGCGTGTAAACACGCCAATGACGTTAATCTGATAACGGATTAATGCGATTGTCTTCGCTTCTCCGTGCTCTATCTATCGCAAAAGGTTTCCGGATTAATATTTCTTGCTGCCATTGCTTCTTCCATCTCGTCTCTCCAACTGTGCTTTGGTCGACCACGTTTTCGTCTCTGCGGGGGAGTCCATTTTAAAATTCGTTCCGGCCGTCTATCATCTGTCATTCTGTTTACATGTCCAAACCATACCAGTTGTCGCGTTTCTATTTCCTCCGTAATGTCTTTTTCTATTTCCATTTCTATTCTTACATCGATGTTGGCGATAAGCAACAGCCTTGTCGTAGTCCTTTATCAGTGGTGAAAGGTTCTGTTAGATGCATATTTGCTATTTTAATTCTTGATGAGAGAACAATTCGCAAACTCGTAAAGGCAAGGTTTAAAATTGAAAACAGCGAATCGTAGGGTAGACTAAATACTGAGTTGTAAACGTCATCACCGTATCTTAAAATGGAAAAAGTTATATATCCTAGTTATGAGAACTTGTATTTCTATATCAGGAAGTAATGTATTCAAACACATATGGATACACTGGAATCATTTGCAATTTATTTATTATGTTATTATTTATTTTAAATTTGAGCTTTTCAATCAAAAGCCGGAAAGAGGGAGGGACGAATGGAAAATATGCAAGGTCTCTTTTTGGAGTGGTTTTCTTTGTCTCGTCTCTGAAGAACATAATATGTTCCGCTAATCTGTCATTAAATAAAAGTAAATTATCAGTTATTCGTCATCAAAGTAACGTACGAATAGGATCCCTTGATCACCTGGAATAAAATGTCGACCAGTACAGCGATGAAGCAAAACCTTTAGTTTAAATTTTTATACCGTTAGAGCAGACTGCAACGTCATCGCGTCAAATGGACCGATCGTCAACTTCAAAGGCTTCTGTGTAAACGCGATCATCAGCAGCAATACTTTTCTTGATGATTCGTTCTGTTCATACCAGGAGCATTCGTACAACGCATCTGACAGGGCGATGCTCTGGGATTAAAATACGACCTAATGTCACGAGCTGATCCGTATCATTGCTCTCACCTGAACCTTTACCTCGTTTGCTGTCCAACCCAGCAGAAATATCTGGAGTAGAAGGTAGCTCAGATACGATACCGATGACAGAACTGTTTGGGATCCGTTCTGCAAAAGAAAGAAGCTAGTCGGAGGTACAGGTGTACTTCGACACTTGCTTACTGTGACTAGACCTACCGAGACAGCGGCAACGTTCAATGATTCTAACACGTACTCGATCAAAATTAAGTACTTTACCAAGTCGTTTAAGCGACTGATGTAGCTAAAACAGATTTATGGTATATAAATTCATTAACACAATTAAATAAATTAGACAATAAATGTTTGGTTATATTTTGGGAAGTAATTGGGATAAATATGAATGAAATGAATTTATAAACAAAAATTCTTATCTCATGATCTAGACTTTATATATTCATCATGCATGTTGAATAAGCGATAAGTCGACCGTGAGTTTAAGTACGCAGAAATAAGTAAATCAAATTTACGAAACGACGAAACAAACCCTAAAAGGCATATAAAAAAATTGCTTAAATGATAGATATTGGTAGAAATAACACTAAAAAACTTTAAGAAATGAAAAGTATATACAACCTAGTAGCGCAATGGCATTATTTGCTAGTTGCACACAATCGGCAGACAAAGCATCATTAAGCATTAGACATATACTGGATGTTGCAATTTCTGTGGTACACAATATACGAGTTGTGTTCAAAAAGTACCATGATTTTTAAGTTTCATCAAAAAGTATTTATTTATTCATCCAAATTAATGTTGTCCCCTTCAAAGTAATCCCCCCAAAAGTAATAAGTAATAGAGTTGTTGCGATATTTTCTTTATCTCCTCAATTGTTCCAATTGTTCTTGAGTTTTGCGAACAGGAACAAGTCGCAGGGGGTCATATCAAGTGAATATGGTAGCTGAGGCATGATTGTCTTTTTGTTGTTTGCCAAAAAGTTAGACACAAGCAACGATGAGTGAGCGGGTGTATTATCGTGATGCAAAATTGTTTTCTCATGGGAAGAACTCTTGATATACTACGTCACGATAATCAAAGAAAACAAACCTTAACATTTGATAGAACTTGACGTACTTTTTTCGGTCTCAGCGATTTTGGTTCGTCCACTGGGACGACTGGGCTTTGGTTAGTTTGGATTCGACGTCATAACCATATCAGGATCATCATAGTCGTTTAACAGCTCTTGAGCGATGCTCCTTCGACAGTCCTTTTGTGAAAAATTAAGCAGTTTGGGAACAAATTTTGCTGCTACACGTTTTATGCTCAAAACTTCGGAAAATATTGCACGAGCTAATAAAGATGACGACGTCTTCGACCATTTCTCTAATAGTGATTCGACGATTTTTCAAACACCATTTGTTTCACTTCTTCAACGCTTTCCTCTGTTATTGAGGTGCTGCGGCGTGCAAAGCGAGGTTCGTCATCGGCGTCTTCTCGGCTATCTTGAAACAGCTGGTACCACTTACAAAGATTACAAAGTAGAAAATCGCCAAGCACACAAAACACGTCTAAGTAAAAGTGAAAACTGGCTGAAACTGTGAACATATGTTAGGGACAGGTGTACCAACATAACAAAAAAAATATAAATCGAAGACTGAATGTACATAACCCGCTCAATTAAGAAAGTCACCTTACTTTTTAGACACACCTCGTATGTTCTATAGACGTAGAGCAATAAATTAATGTTTTCATTCACAAGTGTAATGAATTTATAGAATTTTAAAGAAAAGTAGCGCCCTCTAAAATATAATCAAAAACCAAATAGAATAGTTTCTTTAGACGCCTTGTATCTCAACAAGCAACCCGTTATGGACGCATATTGATATAAATTTTGTATGTTTAAATGTTTTACTGGAATAAATATTCTACGACATGCAGACATACCTGGACATTACATTAATGTCAGAAGATCAGCCGCGTAACTTACCGAGTAACGTCCTGGTGCTGGGTAATAACATGATTCAGGCTCGAGTTGACGTCCCCGTCCTGTCCGATATTCCTGAACTTGATTTGTAGCACCTTCAGAGCGTATCCCGCGAATATCACGCAGGTAAGCGTAATACTTTTGGTCGCTAGCGTCAGGGTAGTGTTGAACACGCACATAAACTCCTCGAGAAGCACGAAAACCATCGCAGGTTTGCGACTAATTCCAAAATAATGCAACTCGATGATGGATACGATTTCGCTAGTAGAGTTGTAGGGTAAGGTGTTGATGTTGCGCCACAGATTTTCCAAAACAACAGCTATCCCGGTACTGGCGACAGTCAGAATCAAGATCATATTCACCAATCTAGCGATACGGTAGCACCGCGAGTGTAGGTTTGAAATGTCTTCGTCTTCGCAATTGCAGAAGAGTTTTTCTTTTTCTTTTACGTAAGACACGATCCGTCGAAAATTAACGGTTCCACAAGCAATCTTAGCGTAGAAGATGCTTAATGAAGGAATTATATAGGACAGCTGTTTGAACAATCTGGGGCTGGAACGTCCAGGTCCCACGCTTAGAAATAATTCCATAGACGCAGAAGTGAAAAATAACGCGAAATACAATTTGACGAAGACGTAATAGGTCAAGTATAATTTCTGCAGCGCGGATTTTCCAGTAATCAATGCCGGGTGCCAAATTCCGGTAAGTATCATGATACGTTCGGAAAATTTTAGGAAAGACCGCGCCATGATATTTCCTCAATCCGCAGCTTCGATTACCTTTGGTAGACACCCACGAAATGCATGGCCGTAAGAAAATGTCGGCTTTTATGTAGAACTGCGTTAGAACCTCCCCTATTCGGGCGTGTTTGTTATTATCCTCACGCAGTTTTGCAGCCTTGTAATTACGTGGAGCAAAATGTTCGTGGATGGATATTTGATTGCACGTTGCAAAGTTTTGTGAATAATTCAGAGGGCTCGGTGGCTTGGCGCACCAATAGAAGACAACGTCTCTATAATTCGTGCGATATGCCAATAGCGGATGCTTTTACATTTTTCTTTATAATGGAACTTATAGTGATTGAGTGAATAATGGTGGTGGGTAATAGAAGTAGAAAATGTGTAGTGTACCGCTTCGCATCAATCGGTGACGACTTTAAAGTTAAATTAGTTTCCCTTGTACAAGATGTATCTTAAGTCTCTTTGACCTGACTTTAATATGAACTAAAGTATACTGAAAATTAATACCTTTAAAGAAAACTATTTCTTATTGTTAGTGGAAAATTATATATAAATATTATAATTTATGGATTTAAATATTTATATATTTATGTATGGGGCGTTTTTTTTTTCGATGTATAGAACTTTAAGTTGCAATAAAACAACGATGTATTATTCGATTGACCTGAATTTTATTTATCCGAAAGATAATCTTGTGATAATATGATTTCTGGCATATGACTGCCACGGCTGGCGCGGATGTAGTCCAATCTGGACGTCCAACATTTGTGGACGTATATCGGCAATAACACGGCGAATGTTGTCTTCCAAATGGTCAAGCGTTTGTGGCTTATCCGCATAGACTAATGACATTACATAGCCCCACAGAAAATAGTCTAGCGGTGTTAAATCACAAGATCTTGGAGGCCAATTCACAGGTCTAAAACGTGAAAGTAGGAGGTCACCAAACGTGTCTTTCAATAAATCGATTGTGGCACGAGCTGTGTGACATGTTGCGCCGTCTTGTTGAAATCACATCTCCTGGACGTCATGGTTATTCAATTCAGGAATGAAAGAGTTAGTAATCATAACTCTATACCGATCACCATTGACTGTAACGTTCTGGCCATCATCGTTTTTGAAGAAGTACGGACCAAAGATTCCACCAACTCATAAAGCGCACCAAACAAATGTTTTTCTGGATGTAACGGTGTTTCGACATACACTTGAGGATTAGCTTCGCTCCAAATGCGGCAGTTTTGTTTGTTGACGTAGCCATTCAACCAGACGTGAAAATTCGCTTATGAAAATCGGGAACAACGGCAATCTCGTTTTGGGCCGATTCAACGAATCTACGCCTTACTTGATGATCGTTTGGCTTCAATTCTTGCACGAGTTGGATTTTGTAAGCGCGTAAACCAAGATCCTTCCGCAAAATCTTCCATAAAGTGGATGGACACAGATCCAATTCCTGTGCTCGATGGCGGATGGACTCATTCGGGCTTCCTCAATGCTACGCTCTACAGCAGCAATAGCTTCTTCTGTACGCACCGTACGGCGTCTCTGGGGATGCGAGTTATCAATAAGAGTAAACGTGGTGCGAAAACGTTCCATGGTTAATCGAATTAACTGCCCTGATGGACGATTTTGTCGACGATAAAATGGACGTAGTGCGCGATACGTATTCCGCACAGAACCATTATTTTCGAAATAAAATTGCACTATTTGCAAACGTTGTTCAGGCGTGAGTCTATTCATGATGAATTGCCAAACCAAACTGAGAATAAATCAGCTGTTAAATCGGTCGCCATCTTGAACAGTAATGCCAACTTAAAGTTCTATACATCGAAAAAAAACACCCATTATATTATTATAAAAATAATTATTTTTTAGAAATTGTAGCCACACCTGTTTAATATTTACTCATTTAAATCTACATAGACAACAATTATATATCTAAACCCTTTTGTTTTTCCCAGAACACGCTAAATTATTAAAAATGAGAAAGGCCCGTAATAACTGGATAATCTAAACAGTAACACTAATAATTAAGATCGAAGAAAACATAAAAGTGCCTCATTAAAGATTAATGGAACTAAACAAACCATACAAATACCTATATATACTTCACTGATTACAAAATATAATACCACCACAGCAAAAAAAGTGACAAAGTAACGTAATGATTTAACATTTCTAAAGACTATAGGATACCAGACAGCCATTCACGCTAGTTTGTAAAATACTGTTCGATGAGTAATTCAGAACTAGATCCTATGTTAAAGTAACTATGTTAAGATGGGAAGTTTCTTATAATTGCGATATAAAAAATGATCTATTGTTACATTACTTAAAATACTTCTTAATTGTGGAAGAGATGAAAACAAGGTTCCAATTTCCCAAAATTTTAAATTATTTAAGTATCACAACTCGTGTCAAAATCCAAAGATAACATACAACTTTGATACTTTTGTCACGTCCGGGACAACCAATAAAGCCCAAAATACCCCAAGCATAAATCTTTGTATTTCGGTTTCAAATATTCTGTGTCCTATAGCGCGAAGAGATAAATAGATAAATTTTATTTTACTTTTTCCAAAATTGCATTTAACAAATCAATGTACCATAATAATTAATTTTCTTGCTTCCACACAAAAAACTCTTTTACGATTTTACATTCGCTGCAATTTAAGAGGCAAAAAAGAATATTATGAAATGCCCAAAATCATGCAATTAAGATGTATATTGATTTTTAAGTTCTTGTAATCAAATAAAAATCACCTGTTTTGCTAATATCGCGAAAACAAATATATCGATAAAATGGAAGTAAAAATAAATTTGCAATATTTTTATTTATTACTTAATTAATTAAACCTCACTTAGACACCAGCTTGTCCGTGGATGAAACTATTGGTAGATATTCGTGATTAGAGTAACATACGAATAAGATGCCTTGATGATCTGGAATTGAACATGCCCGTAGGTACAGTGGAAAAATTAAACTTTTCGTATAAATGTGTTACCGCCAGAGCAGACTGCATCGTCATCGCGTCAAAGGGACCGACAGTCAACGTCAAAGGTTTCTGGGCCAGCTTAATCATTACCAGTATCACCTTCTTTATCGATTCGCTTTGTTCGTACCAAGGGGACTCGTATAGGGCGTCTGACAAGGCCACGCTCTGTGAGTGTAATATAAACTAAAACTCATTTGTTGTCGCTCCAGCTTTATAAAAGATTACCAGGTGGAGTTTACTATTATTTTTCATCAGACCATTGCGGCGTTTTTAATAAATTAAATCTATATATAGGCAAGGAAAACTTCAAAGTCATTTTTTTAAGTAAACTCGGTATAATCTATTGTAATCCTGGGGAGACTATACCTGAATTTTTATTTCGTTAGCGGTCCAGCCAAGCAGGAATATTTGAATTAGGACGTAACTCAAGTATAAAGCCAACGAAAGGAACGATTGGGATTCCGACTGCGAACAAAGGCCGTGCCAAGGTCAATCTGTAGTATTAGTAGACATTTTCTCACCTTCGTCATCTGAACTGAGATGGCAGCGACGTTCAATGACTCGAACACGCACTCGAATAAAATTAAATACTTCACCATGCGGTTCAATAAGTTTACGTAGCTGAAATAGTGACAACTGCAATTGTTATCTAGTGATTAAAATGGCGTCCGTATCTCAATCCAAAAAATTCATAACTGATGCTAAAACCAAATTATTTCCTCCAGTTCTCGTTATATATGGAGTGAATGTAAAAGCAGTGAAAAACTTCTACTCGTTTGCCAAGAATTTGGAAAATATGGGTGGGGTTGGGGTACCATTTATGAATTTGTTATAATCAAAACTAGAGGCGTGCAGAGGGAACTTTACGAAATGATCTTCCTTAGTAAGGCTCGTCGAACACTTAAAACATCAAAATCAAAATACAGGATGGATATCAAAATTTTGAAAATACGTATATTTTAAGGAAAAACGTATGAAATGTGTAACTTATTGTAGGAAAATATCACAGACTGGTAAAACTTCGACAACCAACAAAAAGCAATAAAACATTATGTATCGTGGTAAATAAACATTGGTTATTTGAAACATCGTGTAAATTCGCAGATTAAGTACGTGCACTTGTCATAATTGTCCAAAAAAAAACAAATGGCGTGAACAATACTTTAAGTCTATTCTATTCTTGAAGTTAAAGGTGCCTAGATGCGGCAAGATGTTACTTAGGCAATTGGTACTTTGTACCATCGCATACACCAAATGCTTGTATTAAATAAATTACGCTTACCTAATTACATTCCGATGTTGCGAAATTACTTGTTCCAGGTTTAGCTTAAAGTTTCTTTCGGCTCCTATCCTCCTGAACCCAAGCTGAAGCTCCTGTAACGCGTAGGACGCGAATATCATACAGGTAAGCGTAATGCTTTTTGTCGCCAGTGTCAGGATAGTGTTGAACACGCACAGAAAATCTTCGACAAAGGCAAAAACGATTTTAGGTCTGCGAAATATTCCGAAGTAGTACAAGTTCGCGATGGATAAGGCGGTATCGTTTGTACCGGAATGGTGCTTTATATTCACCACGTTACGCCATATATTTTCGAAAACAACGGCAGACCCGGTACTCGCTACGGTGAGAACCAAAATCGTGCTGACAACTTTACCAATTTTTAGATGTCGCGAGTGCAATTTCGAGATCTCTTCGTCCTCGCGTCGAGCCAGAGGGCTGACTGGGTCTTCGATGTAAGATATGATCCGCTTGAAGTTGACGGTGTCGCAGACCAATGTAGCGTAAAACATCGTCAGCGCTGATATAATGTAAGATAATTGCGTAAACTCTACCGAATTGGTCGACGCTACACTAAGAGCGAATTCAGTGATGAGTGACGTCACGAACAGCGTGTAGTATAGTTTGATGAAGATACAATAGGCCACGTATACTTTCTGCATCGTCGGGTGTGAAGTGATCGAAGACGCGCGCCATATTCCGGTGACCACCATGAAACGTTTAGGGAATACCAGGATGGATCTTTCTGTCCGCGTATCAGCCATAATTCTACCGCACGTTTGCAACTTTTCCACGAAATGCGTGCAGGTTAGACGATGACGTTTTTTATCTAGGACTTCCGCGGAAACTCCCCTTCCAGGCGCGTCTATTATTATGTATACGGTTTATATGGCAATGCACGCCTTTCAGTGACCACGCCCTGTAATTACGAGGGAAGGCAAGAATTCGTATATGGTATATCGATACTGGTTGGCAATTTGCGGTTTTGTGAATAACTCAGCAGATACATATCCGCAGAAAGTAAAGTTCAACAATCCTGCCGAGTTTGATTTTGGTTATACCAAGTAGCTCACTACTGCTACTACTATTATATCTCGATAAGAGTGTTTTGTCATCGAAAAATATTTAATACAAAAGTTAATATGAAAGTGGTGCTTCCAGTGAAAATAGTCTTTATGGACGGAATCCTGTAAGTATCTCACCGCACTTTCCTTAATATAAATGGATCACCTGGTATATTAAGTCATTTTTGGACTTCTGCGAAATTTTCTGTTAGGTTCCCCATACCTAATCCCAATTAGTTTTATAGATATTTTCGTTGTTTTACAAAGTTTTGGTAAACAGAAATCTCTAGAAATTGATATTGGGTTTAAAGATTATCCGAAATTTACCAACCAATCAAACCCCACATCTGCTTCAAGTTAGCATTGTTAACAAAACAATTTGCCAGAGATTGAAATGTGTAGATTTCATTTAGTAAGATTTACTGTTTCGCAACTAAAACTATGCACGCCGCTGTCCATTGAAGAACCACATAGGCTCGGCACTCTACACTGGGAAAATTTTTTGTTAGAATATACGGAGCTGTGACTAAATGAATATGTTTTACCAAAGCTTTATCAAGTTTAAGAATATGATGTTTTCATTGTATGGGATAATTTTAAATTAAAAAAAAAACGCAAAGCGCCCAACTTATTTTCAATGTAAGTTATTTCATTTTTGGATTTTTAAGAAAATTCTTTCAGGTTAGATTATACTTTATGTCAATAATTTCCTAGATATTGGAAAGAAGTATCATTATTTTAGACAATGGTTTTTTATCCATTTTTAATTCGTGATAATCGTTTTTATGGTATGGTATTTTCAAAGATACAAAACTTCGTTTCTTCAAATAGTATATGCTGTATATTAACTAGTTACTTGCATATATATATATATATATATATATATATATATATATATATATATATATATATATATATATATATATATATATATATATATATATATATATATATATATATATATATATATATATATATACATATATATGGGGTTTGTTACAGCTCGCGCCGTTTTCCCTCTCTCAACCAGACTCTCCATTCATCTTTGTCATTCCAATCTCCGTCTTCCAACCCCCTTTCCTCCATGGCTTCATCTATTTCATCCCTCCACGATCTTCTGGTTCTTCCTCTCTTTCTACGTCCCATAGGGCTCCACTCTGTGATTTTCTTTATCCACCGTCTATCGTCACTTCGTCTGACATGACCATACCATTTAAGCTGTTTTTCTGCTATTGTAGTTAATAAGTCTTTTTCTACATTCATTTGCCTCTTGATTTCTGCGTTACGTATTCTATCCATGCGTGTTCGTTGGCAACACCTTCTCCAATATTCCATTTCGACGGCGGTTACTTTAGATTTGTTCTTTTTGTTCAATAGCCAGGTTTCTGCTCCGTATGTAATTATACTTTCTACTATTGTCTTAAATATTGTTGTTTTTATTTTCTTTGTTAATTTCTTGTTCCATATAATGGAGTTCAGTTGTTTTATACATGTTCTACCCTGGCCTAGTCTAGATTTGATTTCTTCTTCTGTTGATCCATCTTTTGTTATTATACACCCTAAGTATTTAAATTTGTCTGTTGCTTTTACGGTTGTGTTTTCATCTATTTCAAAATCTTCGATTTCCCCTTCTTTTGTTGTTAGATATTCTGTCTTTTCGAAGTTTATTTCCAAACCTACCTTCTCATATTCCTCTTTCAGCTTTCTGAGCATGTAACTCAAGTCGTCTTCATCCTGGGCTATGACCACCTGGTCGTCGGCAAAGCTTAGGGTGTATAAGTGGTCGTCGCGTACTGGGACTCCCATACCTTGACATTTTCTTTTCCATTGTGTTAGCGCCCTCTCAAGATAGATTTTAAACAACGTTGTTGATGTAGGGCATCCTTGTAGTAGGCCCTTTGATGTTGTGAATCGATTTGTGTACCTATTACCTATTTTAACCGACAACTCGTTGTTCTTGTACATTGTATCTACGGCTTCTATTAGTTCTCTTTCTATCCCAATATCTTCCATTGCTTTCCAAAGTTGTTGTCTGGGTATAGAGTCATAAGCTTTTCTTATATCTATGAATGCTAAATGGATGTCTCTGTTTTTAGCTTTTTTCTTTTCGATAGTCTGCCTTACCGTATATATCTGATCAACGCATGACTTCCCTGCCGTGAAACCGGCTTGATCTTCACCTATTTTCCCTATTATCTGGTCTTCTATTTTGTTTTTGATTATCTTTCCATATAGTCTTCCCATGCTTGATATAATGCTAATTCCTCTGTAGTTGGTACACTTCCTACGATCCCCCTTCTTGAAAATAGAGCTTATATATGCCGTATTCCACTCCCTTGGTAACGTTTCTCCATTTATTGCTCTTTCAAACATGTTTTTCAATATTCTGAATAATTTGTCCGACGCATACTTAATAAGTTCATTCACTATCCCCCCTGGCCCTGGTGATTTTTTGTTTTTTAATTCTTTAATGGCTTTTATTATTTCTTTTTCTTCTATTGTTACATGCTTTAGATTGTTGTTAGGTTGTATTTGATATGTTAGTTGTTGCCAGAATTGTGGTCGTGTCTCCGTTAGTAGTTGTTGATAATAATTTTCCCATTCGGTTTCTTTGATAAACTGTATATTGACTTTCTCTTTGGTATTTGATCTGACAGATCTTATTGTTCTCCATGATTCCGAGCATCTTGTACCTCCTGTATACTGTTGTATGTTTTGGCAGAGTCTATCCCATTTTTCATTTTTTTCTTGCAAATAACAATAAAGTTCTTTCCAGTTAGCAGTCATTTTGACGAAGTTTGAACACAATGTTGTCTTGTAGAAAGAATAATTAAAATTATTTCGTTTTCATCATTCATTTTATTCTTTTTATTAATTAATATTTACTTATTATTAAATTTAATTCTCCTGTTTTTTTTTTTCACGTGCCAAGTGAACTGCATTTTTGTATTTTGCCATAATTAAAAAAATAAAGTAACGTAACTACCAAATTTTCTACTTCTAAACCAATTACCAAATTGCTAATTGTTATTTTCGTGCTTCCGTGTGAGACATAAGCGTTTATCAATAGTTAAAACTGCTGACATGGCACTTGTATTGGAAATAAGTAAGATAAGCACGAAACAATTGAGATTAAGTATATGGAAACCTTATGGAACCTAACATTACTTAAGTGGTATGAAATACGCCTCAATAAACTACGATTCGCCGAAGTTATAATTCTAATAGCTTCTAATATAATGCAAGAGAATTGCATCATTAATCATCACAAAGGAGAACACGAACATTCTAAGACTCACGCAAAATGCAATCGAAAGCGCATAGCTGGGAATTTCTCTTAAAAATAAGGGGGACAAATACATGGATAAAACAAGGAACAAGGGTAACCCACGTAGTGCACAAAGCCCTAAGAGTGAAATGGGAATACGCAGGTCACGTTGCCAAGGAAGAAACTAACAAATGGCAAACATCACTCTTGGTTTGGAGAATTTCGATGACCCAGGGGAAGATTTAAAACTAATCGCCGGCCGGAATTGGATACAAACAGCTTATAACAGAAGACAATGGAAGAAGAAACTTGAAGAGGCGTATGTTCAAAAGTTCCAGTAGCAGGAGAATATTTTATTTGTTTTTTTTTACTAAGCACGAAATTTCACCGCTTAAACGCCAGCTATTATGCATTTTTTTATTTATAGAAACATGTTCAAGAGTGTTGTCTGAATTATTAGTAGCTATTCGTTAACAGAGTAACATACGAATAAGATGCCTTGATGATCTGGAATAGAACATGCCCGTAGGTACAGTGGAAAAATTAAACGTTTCATATAAATATGTTACCGCCAGGGCAGACTGCAACGTCATCGCGTCGAAGGGACCAATGGTCAACGTCAAAGGTTTCTGGGCCTGCTTTATCATCACTAGTATCACCTTCTTTGATGATTCATTTTGTTCATACCAAGGGGACTCATAGAGAGCGTCTGATAAGGCCACGCTCTGCGAATATAACACAAATCAAACATTTGTAAACTAAATCTTAGCTTGTTGAGACAACTGCCATTGATCAAGACCGCCCGCTTGTAATCCTGGGGCGACCATACCTGATTCTTTATTTCGTTCGCAATCCAGCCCAGCAGGAATATTTGAATCAGTACGTAAGTCAGATATAGTGCCAACGACAGGAGCGTTTGGGATTCCGACTGCAAACAATAGTTATGTCAAGGTCAACACGTAGTTTTCCAAAGAAACTTCCACGGGCTACTGTATTCCTCCTGCGTCGGTTTTTGCTGAGGAGAAGTTGCTGACGTTTCGCCAATCATCCTGTTGGCTTCTTCGGCTGACAGTTTCAGTCAAGCTCTGAAGAAGCCAACAGGATGATTGGCGAAACGTCAGCAATTTCGACTAAGCAAAAACCGACGCAGAAGGAATCCAGAAGTTTCGTAAAAAGTCAACACGTGGTACTTGTCGATATTTTCTCACCTTGGTCATCTGTACTGAGATAGCAGCGACGTTCAATGACTCGAATACGTACTCGAACAAAATTATGTACTTCACCATATTGTTTAATAACTCAACGTAGCTGAAACAATGACTCCTCGGTAATGTTTCCGACTATAAAAATGTGGTTTGTTTCTCGCTTGTTGTGCAAACCAAACAAATCGATATTTATAGAGAAAAAAATCTTCGTTAAATTCAAATATTACAATATGTGCAGTGGCCAAAATTGAAATCTGTAGCCGAAAATCTCTATACTGATATTTAACATTTGGAAACATTTTAACATATAGAAACTCATCACAGGGGGGCTGCCATCATCAAGTGAATCGTCAACAAATAGGTCAGCAATTTTCGAAATTTGAATTTATAAAATTTTAAAAGTAATTTAGTTTGCTTTGCATTAAATATTGGTTATTTGAATATGCAGGTGAAAAGGTAAGTTCACTTTCTAATGAGTCAGCCATAATTTGCCAAATCATGCCTAATGACTGATACAATATTTTTTAGTAAATTTCAACATCAAACCTAAAACTCGTTTATCAAAAGTTATGTTTCCATGGCTTAACATGTCTGAGCACTATATCCCACCTACTACGTAGTCCAAGTCTCGCTGAAAATACAGTGAGAAGTCTTATGGGGTGCACCGTTGCCAGTCTGGTATCAGGCAAAAATCAGGTCCGGTCTCAAAAAAATTTACCAGTGAAATTTGTTACTCTTGGTCGAGATCGGAAACATCTCTTGGAGATTATCAGCGGACCACATTTCCTTTTCGAATTTTTCTATGACATGTTGAACATAATTCCTCCAATTGCGTTCAGTAATTCAGTCTATTAACGAACAAACATGTTCCTTATTAAAATTGGAGTTGTTCATTGTCACATAGCGCTTTACTTGATTCGGCTGGATACTTAAATTTACAAGAATGATAGGAAACACGACATTTCTTCTTTCATGGTTAGCCCTCGCTTTCCTTTTCTAAGAAAACTCGGTCGGATTTATGGGAACAGAGGCACGTGAGGTTTTTTACTTGAACCTTTTAACTTAATATTGTACAAAAGTTGCATTTGATGATTTAAACCATATACAAGGCATCCCAAAAAAATTGTGCATTTTACAAAAACATATCTTTTTTATATGCACATAACTTTGCTTAAATGTCATATAAGTTTGTGAATTTTTTGGAAGGAAGGAGCTTTGAATTTTATTATAAAAACATATTTTTTTATAAAACAGTAAAAAAGTAGACAAGGTGTTCAACAAAAATGAGTCTTGGACAATTGCTCTTTGCTCAAATATTTTGTAGAATTTTTATTAATTGTTTGTTTTTTTTAACCTGATAATAACTTGGAAAATTTCTGCAGTTACATCTTGAATAAAATTATATTAACACCTTTTCAATTTTTCGGTGAGTAGAATATTTAATGCTTCTTTCACAAAATTTTGGCCCATAGCATGGCAACTATGTCTATTTTAAGATAATTTTGTGAAAAAAAATGTGGTAAAATTGCTAAAATAAAAAAAAATTTGATTGATCATTGATCCACCTAAGGTACTTATAGAAAAACTTGGCAAACCCTTATCCCCTCAAATAATTTTATAAATTCCATATAAATTTGTCAATTAATATTAACTTTTCATCATTCACTAAAATGCAACTGATATTAATAAGTCGAATATAAAACAAAAATAAAGTCATATTCGGTGGTGATATGAGACATTCTGATTAATATCTCATTAAACTAATCCAATAAACTAGCCCTTGACCACTGATACTATTCAGCTTTTAATACAAATTTTACAACCAACCTTTGATGTTACCTTGTTACGTTCATCATTCCAATGTGATGCGACAAAAACTGTCATCAGCAACCATCTTATATAGTAATCACTTGGATTTGGGAGTTACGCTTACCTAATTAGCTCCCGATGTTGTGAAATAACTTGTTCCATGTTTAGCTTAACGTCTCTATCAGATCCTATCCTCCTGAACCCAATCTGAAGCTCCTGCAACGCGACAGAAGCGAATAACATGCACGAAAGCGTAATACTTTTGGTGGCCAGTGTCAAAGTAGTGTTGAACACGCACAGAAACTCGTCGACAAACACAAAAACGATTTTAGGTCTGCGACTAATTCCGAAGTAGTACAGGTTAACGATGGAGACTATATCGGCGGTTTCATTTCGGCCTGAATAGTACTTCATATTCACCACGTTACGCCATATATTTTCGAAAACAACGGCAGACCCGGTACTCGCTACGGTGAGAACCAAAATCGTGCTGACAAGTTTGCCAATTTTAAGTTGTCGCGAGTGCAATATCGAAATCTCTTCGTCGTCGCATCCAGCTACACGGCTGACTCGGTCTTCGATGTAAGATATGAGCCGCCTGAAGTTAACGGTGTCGCAGACCAATGTAGCGTAAAAGATCGTTACCGTGGAAATAATGTAACACAGTTGTCTGAACTCTACTGAATTTGTCGAAGCCAGGCTCCGACCGAATTCTATTATGAGTAACGCCACGAACAACGTGTAGTATAGTTTGATGAAGATGCAATAGGCCACGTATACTTTCTGCATCGTCGGGTGAGGTGTGATCGAAGAAGTTCGCCATATTCCGGTGACAACCATAAAACGTTTAGGGAAATCGAGGATGGACCTCTCTGCTTGCTTGGCAACCATGATTCTGCTATACCACTTCGACCCTCGCAGCCCCTCCACGAAATGCAGGAACATCAAACGATGACGTCTTTATATAGGACTGCCGCGTAACCTCCCCTTTCACACGAATCTATTATTATTTACACAATTTCTACGACATCGGCGATGCCCTGTAATTACGTGGAAAGGAAAAAATTCTGGTATGGGATATCGATATTGGTCAGCAATTTGCGGTTTTGTGAATAATTCAGCAAATGCGTATTCGCAGAACATTTACTACGAAAAAATTAATCAATTTGGGTACTTCAAATTAGCCCCCAAAAAGTATGTAATTACAAATTCATGAAATTTGTATTGCAAATCAGTCTCTAATAATTAGAGCATTTTATTTTAATATTTTTAGTGTAAGTTTATAGGTATAATTTTTCCAAATTTTCTGTGACAGAATGAGAAATATTGTTTTCTTGACGGTCATTTGAGAAATAATTTTTTCGTATGTGAATCAATATTTTGCACTCTAACAGTTTTTCAATACTCATCAACGTGTAGAGGGTGGCCGGTTTAAGAGGGGAATATTACCTTATCGCGAAACCTACGGGGGTCACAAGAAAATTTTAAAAACAAGTTGTTTCTATTTAAATAACCCTTATTTCAAGCTATTATCTTGATTCGGGTTTAAAGGCCGTCGTCCGTTGGAATTACTTCCTAACGTTTCGCTGGCACGAGTGGCGAGCTTCTTCAGAGGTCCTTCCATCTCCGATGTTGGACGTAGACTGTCTGGCGAAACGTTAGGAAGTAATTCCAACCGACGACGGCCTTTAAACCCAAATCAAGATAATAGCTTATCAACGGGCCGCGAAAGCCTTAACCAATTAATCAACCTTTATTTCATTTTGTTTTCCTAATACTCACTTTTTTATACCATGTGACATGAGAAACTGAGAACACCCTAAAACTTTTAAACGGCTTAAGATAGCTATTTGAAATTTGGACGAGTTAATAGACTGAATGTTCAATTTTTTGACAATATGGTTGCACTTGCACCCTATGAGTTTACTACCCACAATTAACTGAATTCCTGTAACTTACAATGTATGTACTGATAAAAAACAATCGTAAATGAACTATGAAATTTCTTTTTGCTACGAACTAACTCTATAACTATAACGTCATGCGTCGTGCGTTAGGTACTCCCAATCGCTATCCTCCCAAATTGTTTGTCGGTGGTCATCTGGGACGCCGTAGTCGGTCCAAGAAATTTCGAAAAGTTATATCAACAAAATCAAACGACAACTTGGAAAGTTGCTGTCAAAATTCACAGAACTACTAAAATTAGTCTGAACCCATCCTTGCACAGAAAAGAGGAAGAACGACGATTTAAATAAAAATAAAGGCTTTATGCTCGGATATATCGGCACCATAAATACAAAGTTATTACCAGAATCAGACCCTGCAGATTGAAATTAATAATATTGACATAAATCGATCATCGTCAGTCGCTTCGTCGGTCTGAGAAGTCCAACACATTCTACACTTTCTGCCACACCATTTCAACCTGACTGAGTATGATGATAAATTTCCACTTCACACGCATCCATTATTATTTATTCGATAATGCTGGTTTCCTATTGTCCTTGCCCTGTAAATACGCAGGGACGGGAACAGTTTCTACTATCGATAGTAGCTTGAAATTTGCCCTTACGTGAATAATTCAGCAGAGACGAATATTTGCACTACATATACCCAGAAGCAACTCAGACTCTGCTCTCCCTCAAACGCACGATAAAAAAATTGAAGTATATTAGTACTTAATAAGATCCGATGAAGCGAAATTATTTACAATTAAACGCAACGTAACAAATCGACTTCTGGAAGTCGATGACCAGTTGGTATGATTTTTCGCATTCTTGGCTGTAAATGTTATCAAGGCCTGTCGACATTGGCAAATTGGTTCAAAATTTAATTCACTTGACACAGAACAGGTGTTGAAGATGTTTGATTAAGATCATTCAAAATACACAGGCAAGAGTATCGATTCCACACAATGGGCATGAGCAATTGCGGTCCAAGGATCATGATGGGCGGGTTTATATCACACTATATTAAGAGCATCCATGGGTTCCCACAATACAATTATTCCTAATCATTTTTGTTAAATAAGTATTTTGGTTCATCATCATCTTCATTACTAACGTTGCGAAGATCTGCCACGTCGACATCGGCCCTGAGGCTTTCCTTGAGCTAGCAGACCCTCCATTTTGTGAGAGCTTAGGTTCTAAAGTAAAATGTACACGGTGTTTGGGTTGGATTTGATTAAAAGACGAAAGGATTGTGCGATAAGGGAATTCAAGGTAATCTTTCTCACATATATTTTGAAAAATAGAGAAGACTACCTACTTGTTATCCAGGTAATTTGGATCATGTACCTATTTTGGTTAGTGAATTCATAAGGAAACTTTTAAAAAATTCACTTTTATCCTTCCGACCGGTAGCTTTTAAGTTGACACAAAAGTCATAGAGACCACATCGATATATTAATCCGCCTTTTCTTTTTCTGGAAAGCTTATAAGAAAAAGAAAAGCAGGCTGAAGTCTTATTCAGGCTTGAATATGTCTTCTCAACATATTATTGTGTTGGCTTCAAAAGTTACTGCGTTACCAGCATTAAACAGGGGCTAGAGTATGGCTTTACATAACAATGAATAACAAATATTATTATTTAGAATATTATTACCAACATTAGGTTACACACTGTATAGATTATTTCTCTTTTATTTAAATCAATTTATATAAGTAAGAGTGGGAACAAGGAGGTTCTATTGTTTACCATTATTGGTAACTATTCGTCATTAGCGTCACGTACGAGTAAGATCCCTTTATAATCTGGAATAGAATATCTACGCTTCACGAAAGTGGAACTATTCAATTCGTACCGCTAGAGCAGACTGCATGGTCATCGCGTCAAAAGGACCAATCGTCAAAGTCAAAGGCTTCTGGGTCAGCTTGATCATCACCAGTATCACCTTCTTGGACGCTTCGTTTTGTTCGTACCAAGGGCATTGGTACAATGCATCGGATAAGGCCACACTCTGCGAGAATAAGTACTATGGTGAGACCAGCACCTATGTGTTTCTCATACCTGCATTTTTATTTCGTCGGCTGTCCAACCTAGCATGAAGATTTGCAGTAGAAGGTAACTCAGGTACGATGCCGATGACAACAGCGTCTGGGATTCGTACTGTAAGGAAATTTCATGCTAGACTCAGAAAAGTAGTAGTAATCGATATATGCTCACCGCGGCTAGCTGAACTGAGAGAACGGCAACGTTCAGTGACTCGAATAAGTACTCGAACAAGATTAAGTATTTTACCAAATCGTTTAAATCATGGATGTAACTGAAACAATTAATACAATAACTACTAGTGACGGAATTGAATAATACTGACAATTTCAATAATACAGTATTAAATGTCGGTAATAAAAAATAGCGCTGAAGCCAATAGCACATTATCGAGACACGATTCAATCGAAAAATAAATAAGATTAAGAAATTCTATATACAATTTTATTTTTTATACAGAGCTCGAAAATTCCTCATTTCCTTTCAGTAAAATCAATTAATATACAGAGTAGCTCACTACAGTCCAATACTTTTATAAAAGTTTATTTTATGCAAAAATTTTAAGTGCAATCGTGCTTCGTATCGAAGTGGTGCAAAGTGTTTCTCATAACCCTCTGACAGTACCAAACTTTCATATTTTAAATAGAGTAAATGGTATGTTATTTCTTTTACGAGTTTCTGAAAAAAAAGCATATTTGGTTTCTTCGCGTTTCCCTCAATAGTTTCTTAGACTTCTTAATCACTTGTATGGTAAAAAGAAAAAATAAAAATTATTTTTCGAAATTGATATTAATTGAGTTCACACTTGCAGGTTATTTAAAACTTAAACAACACTTTCGTTTTTAAATCTGCAAAACATCGTTTTTTTTTTCAAATACATCAGTGTATTATGGTATGGTGTGAAGCATAATTTATTTCTACTTTGACTATGGCTATGAATTCCCTTATAACTATTAACTGTTATATTGTTATTTGTGATGGTTTAAAAATTGGGAGTATACTGTGTGGTGGCGATGCGCGGAGCGCCCTCTATTGCCAATTCTCGGAGACGAAGTCGGTAAAGGAGCGCGGAGTGGCCAGTTCCTTTTTACGGGACGAACTGTGTTGACGTGGTATTGATTATTTTGTTCGATTTCGATCTGCTGGACCAGAGTGTGTGTATTGTTTTCGCCGCTTCTGAACCCGGTGTGTTTCGGTAGAAACACATCCATCACATGTTTCATATTTTGTATCAAAAGTCTTTAAATTTCTTTTATTTTCTGTCGAACGGGCTATCTACATTACCCAATTTGCAGCACTTGGATTTTTCACTCGGATCTGTGGAACTCTAGTTGGAACTCTGTAGTGACGATGTACTGTACCAACCAAAATCAAGAAGTATGGCCAAACCTCGTTTTTTTTCTCAGAAAATCCAAAAAGGAATAATATATTCTGAGATATTTATGAGATTTTGTGAAAATGTTCTTCTCATGTTACACTGCAGTTTCAAACAGATTACTTTTGAATTTATTTTATTTTTTTGATAAAACAAAAGCTGATAGAGAAATAAACCCCAAAATCATTAGTACGAAGTAATAAGTTTTGCAAGACATTTGCTTTAACTGTCTTAGTTTGCCCAATGTTTGATCGTCTCGATGAAAACTATCCCTACCATTACTACTTTAGAATTTAATACATTACTTACGCTTACCTGATAACGTCTAGGTGCTGCGAAACTGCTCGTTTAAATCCGAAGTCAACATCTGCATCCATTCCGATTTTCCTGAGTCTAATCTGAAGCTCCTGCAACGCATAGCTTGCGAAAATCATGCACGTCAGTGTGATACTTTTGGTAGCGAAAGTCATTATGATATTGAACACCGACATGCATTCATTAACGAGAATGAAAGCAGTCGCTGGTTTCCGCGTAGTGAGTCCGAAGTAGTACAGGTCGATGATGAACGCGATTTCGGCCGTCCCGTTTCCACCTGAGTTATGTTTCGCTATCGCCACGTTACGCCATATATTTTCCAAAATAACGGCGGACCCTGTGCTCGCCACTGTGAGGACTAAAGTTGTACTGACGAATTTCCCGGTTTTCGTAAGTAGGGAATATAGCTTCAAAAGGTCCTCGTCATCGCAGCCGGCAAGATAATTTTCTCTGTCCTCAATGTAAGATATAATTCGCCTGAAGTTGATGGTATCGCAGACCATGGCAGCGTAAAGGGTCGTCAGCATTGAAATAATGTACGAGAGTTGTCTGAACTCCGTGGAATTTTCCGACAAAACACTCATGGTGAATTTTATGACCGCCAACGCTACGAACAGCGAGTAGTAGAGCTTAACAAAGACGCAATAGGCGATGTATGCTTTCTGCGCTGACGAATTTAGTGTAATGGAAGAAGCGCGCCATATTCCGGTGATAACCATGAAACGTTTAGGGAAATCCAGGATGGAATTCTGTGGCCGCTCGCTACCAGTCATATTACTACCTCACTACGAAATGCACACATATCAGACGACTGCACCTTTTATATAGGACTGCATCAGGACGTCCCCTTTCACACGAATCTGTTATTATTTGCACGATTCATAGGACAATGCACGTTTTCCGCCGCAATTGCCCTGTAATTACGTGTGTATCATGTCGACAATAGTTGATAGTAGACTTGTGGATATTCTGTGAATAATTCATAGCTTGCCAAGAAAATCAAACGATTCGCTATCTTGAAACATACGAGTGAACACCACGCGTTACTATTTTCGATGTACTTGGGTCGCACCACATTGGTGCGTTTAAAAAAAATGGAGAGATGTGCTCAGAAAGTTAGAAGAAAAGACATTTCACAACCTTTGCACCTCTTGAAACAATATATAAAACTACAACTAGAAGTCATTCCCTTAAAATTTAGATTATTTCGATTTTTAAGTTAATCACTGTGGACAGATAACCGCTAGAATTAGATCCCGTTTGAAACAAAAAGTGTAAGTATACCCACAAATAAATTATTACTTGCAATTATATATTTGTATTCATTCAGACCGCCGTTTTCTGGATAAGCAATATCCGAGTAAGTTTGAACTGAACACAAATAAATTAATTGTGTCCAAACGTAAGGAAGAAATTAATGACAGTTCTTGAAATAAAAGAAAGTCTACAGGATTAATACGCGGTTGGAAGTACAAAAAACAACTATGGCACTATTCGTAAATTACCTAGAAGACCAATACGTTTCTATTTGAAGTTATTCATTATCGGAATAACGCAGGAAAGAGCCCTTAACCATCTACAATAGGAATTCAAGTATTCAAAACGAGCGTTCTGCTTCAAAAAGTACCGCTAGAGCAAATTGCATCGTCGTTCCACCGAAAGATCCTATCGTCAATGCCAAAGGTTTGCGCCGACCTGATCATCGTCAGCAGCGGAAATTAGATGGCAACAACTACCTGCAATGGAAGTTTTAAATACGATGTGCCTTAAAAACCAAAGAACTTTAGACCAGTGGGACTCCTAAGCCCAATTGGTAAAATTGCTCGCCCGACCAAAGTTCACCTTGTCAGCTTCGTGAGTGTGCGTCTAGCTAAGAAATTTTGGATAAAAAGAGGTTTAAATATATTTGCAAAAGACGGAAACCAGGACGTGCATCGCGCAACGTGTAGCGAAGCTTTGGCCGTGATAGATAAGGTTACAAATTAGAATTAAATTAAGTAGACAAATAAGTATGAAATTGGTTGGTTAATACAAAAAAAGTCGGCAATTTTAGCACCTTCTTGGACGATTCGTTTTGTCGGTACCACGGAGACTCGTACAAACCATCAGATAGTGCGTAATGTAACATAAATGGTTGTACAAGTGTGTTCTTCTTCTCAACAAAAGAATTTTCAGCAAATGGTCATCCGATCTGCTAACCGTGGCCAGCTGGGCTGAGACTGCGACAACATTCAGCGATTCGAACACGTAATCGAACAGAATTATATGCTTAACCAAATCGTTCAAGTCATCGACATATCTAAAACGAAATCCTTGCTTTTTGGTCAAGAAAAACTAAATAAGTTTGAAGTTACTGTGATTTATTTATTCTCAAGGCAACCCGAACTTCTTCCATTAATAGCGAAAAAACTTGGTGCTGATACTAAATGGATCGGTCAAAAAACCGCTGTTTATGAAATTACAAAATGTCGGCAACGTCCCACTACATTTTTTATATATAATTGAATCAGAATCAAAAATCCAAAGGACATAATAAATTTTTCGAAAATTTCCATTTCATCTTATTCAGAATCACTTCTAAATATTTTTGTTTGACTGAAAATGTTTTTTAAGGGAGTTATCTTAGACCGGTTTTAAAAGTGTTTGTTCCAACTAGGGTGTTATTTGAAAAAACTGGATTATCCTAAAAAATCTTATTTGTCATTAGATAAGTAAAGAAAAGTTTCTTTTACAATTTTTCCCATGATCAGGGGACCCAGTAAATAGTATTTATGATGGTCACAGACTCCTAGACACAATTTTCGATAATTAAATAAAAATTTGAAAAAACAAAAAAAAAGAAAAACCGTCCTATCCTACATTGACTACATATTGTCAAAAAATTGGACATTCAGCCTGTATTAACTCTGCCAAAGAGTGTTGGCACTTTCTCGTGTCACCCGGTATCAAAGACAAAATCAACGCTATGTATAAGTATGGGTCTGTGATGCACATATGTTCAAACCATCATTGTTGCGTTGCTTATTAACTTCTTAAAGTTTCTTTCCACCTCTTATTTTTACGAAAATAATGTTTATCTTTAGAGAATGATCAAATTTTAAATATTTTCTTAAAATACGCGATGTTGCCACGTTTCGCAAATTGATACATTTGCTGTTAGATTTTCCAATAGCAATTTCAATTATATAACATAACTGTTTTGACTTAATTGGCAGATAAAATTAAAAATTTTGTATAAGATTAAATTATTAAGATATGAAACTTGTACACATTTTAGAGCATCATCAAGAAGTCATATAAAAAACGGAATATTTGCACAATGTTGCCAAATTTGCCAAATTACTTAATTTTAGGTTCAAATTTTCATTTAAAACGAATAATTGCACTTCTATGGTAAGATGGCGCTCCTTCATCTTGCTGCCGAATTAAACTTGGATGCTTCCTTTGGGGAATATTATAAGCATAAGCATGACACTTGTGGTGGCCAGTGTCAAGGTTATGTTAAAAACGGATAAGCATTCTACGAGGATAAACACATTGGTTTCCGAGTCTCGATTCCAAAGTAATACAGGTCAATGATGAACGTGATTTCGGTAGTTCCGTTTCTACCGGAGTAATACTCTGCGGTTGCCACGTTAAACCATATATTTTCCAACGAAATCAAGGCCGTGCTGAGAACTTTGCATCCTTTCGACTTGGGCGGCTTTATATCACACGATATTAAGAGGATTAAAAGGGTTTATGTTAATGTGTCAAAATGCTTATCATTTTTTGCTAAAGTAAGTATTTTTATTCATCATCACCGTCATTACCAATGTTGACACATGTATTGTATTTCATCGTTGAGCTTCAGCCGTTCGGACAGAGATCTGCCACGTCGACAACGGCCCTGAGGCTTTCCCTAAGCTAGCAGACCATCCATTTTGTGATTGCCTAGGTTCTAGAGTAAACTGTACACGAAAGACGGTGTTTGGGTTTGATTTCATTAAAACGCGAAAGGATTGTGCGATAAGAAAATTCAAAGTAATCCTTCTCACACAGATAATTTGGGTAATGGCCGCTCTTGAGAATCATGTAATTATTTTGTTTAGTGAGTTCATAAGAAAAAAAATACTTCTTCCGACCGGTAGCTTTTAAATTGCAAGCAAAAGAAAAGCATCCTGATGGTCTTATTGGTTGATAGCGAGATGTGAAATGATTCAGGCATGGGCATATTGAATATATCTTCTCAACATTTTATTGTGTTGACTTCAAAAGTTACGGCGTAATAACGAGTAAAAAATATTATTTTTTGAAATATTACTAAAAACATTAGGTTACATTTCTTTTATTTAAATAGGTCTATATAAGTAATAGTTGGAACAAGGTAGTTTCATTGTTTACCATTATTGGTAACCATTAGTCATCAGCATCACGTACGAGTAAGATCCCTTTATAATCTGGAATAGAACATCTACGCTTCACGAAAGTGGAGCGATTAAATTCGTACCGCCAGAGCAGACTGCATGGTCATCGAGTCAAAAGGGCCGATCGTCAAAGTCAAAGGCTTCTGGGTCAACTTGATCATCACCAGTACCACCTTCTTGGACGATTCGTTCTGTTCGTACCAAGGACACTGGTACAATGCATCAGATAGGGCGACACTCTGCGAGTATAAGTACTATGGTGAGAGCAGCACCTACGTGTTTCTCATACCTGCATTTTTATTTCGTCGGCTGTCCAACCTAGCATGAAGATTTGCAGTAGAAGGTAACTCAGGTACGATGCCGATGACAACAGCGTCTGGGATTCGTACTGTAAGGAAATTTCATGCTAGACTCAGAAAAGTAGTAGTAATCGATATATGCTCACCGCGGCTAGCTGAACTGAGAGAACGGCAACGTTCAGTGACTCGAATAAGTACTCGAACAAGATTAAGTATTTTACCAAATCGTTTAAATCATGGATGTAACTGAAACAATTAATACAATAACTACTAGTGACGGAATTGAATAATACTGACAATTTCAATAATACAGTATTAAATGTCGGTAATAAAAAATAGCGCTGAAGCCAATAGCACATCATAGAGACACGATTCAATCGAAAAATAAATAAAATAAAGAAATTCTATGTATAATTTTATAAATTCTTGTGTTTTGCGGCGACTCGTTGCGATAAATTTCAAAAATGTAATTACAGAGCTAAAAAATTCTTCACTTGCTTTCAGTAAAATAAACTAAGTCTGTAAATGTAAAGGTAATATACAGGGTAGCTCACTACTGCTGAATTATTTTATAAAAATTTATTTTGTCAAAAAATTTTAACCGCAAACGTGCCTCATATCAAAGTGGTGCATGCAATGACAATGGCGATCATTATACAGTGTTTTTCATAACCCTCTCACAGTACCAAACTTTGTTATATTAATTTGTGAATTTCTGAAAAAAAAATCATAGATATTTCAAAAAATTTTAACACTTCGTCTTTTAACAATTAATCACCTATATGGTAAAGGGAAACAAGAATTATTTCACTTCAAAAATTGCTATTGATTGATTTCACACTTACAGGGTATTCAAAAATTTCCCACCACTTCCGTTTTTTGAAATCTGCAACTTCGTTTTTTTCATAATAATTTATTTTTATTTATTGTTATGTTATTATTGCATATTTTCTATCAAAAGTCAATCAATCCCTGACTAATCTAAACCCAGAAGGGAGCCTACCATGAAATTTTTTCAGAAATCCTAAAAGAAATAATATATGGGAAATGGTATATGGGAAGTTAGTTAGTTGGTCTGAGACACTTGCGTGAATGTATGACAATGTTATTTTCATTGCACACTGCATTTTCGTACAGATTACTATTGATTTTTTTTAACAAAATGTGATAGAGATATATTTTTACAAGATATTTGCTTTAAAGGGCTTATCCTACGAAAATTGTTTTTAACATTAGAGATCCAATTTTGAGAACTTTAAAATTAATGTTTAACTATCCAAATAATTTTAAATACTTTTTGATAAATCCTAGAATCCTAGTAGGCACACTTTTTTTTTCGTGGGTTTCATTTATTATACAAAACTCCGTAGAACGAAAACATATAAAAAACTTATGATCATGTCATTCATTTCTCCCGTATGTACTATTACGTAGTAACATAAAAATCCCTTCGCCTTCACCACCCAGCATCAGTCGATATGTTGCTATGAATAATTTAATACATGCTTACCCGATAACGTCTAGGTGCTGCGAAACCACTCGTTTAAGGCTGAGGTCAACATCTACATCCGTTCCGATTTTCCTCATTCTAATCTGAATCTCCTGCAAAGCATAGCTGGCGAATATCATGCACGTCAGTGTGATACTTTTGGTGGCTAAAGTCAGGATGGTATTGAACACCGACAAGCATTCATTGACGAGAATGAATGCAGTCGCTGGTTTCCTCGTCGTGAGTCCAAAGTAGTACAGATCAAGGATGAACGCGATTTCGGCAGTCCCGTTTCCACCTGAGTTGTATTTCGCTATCGCCACGTTACGCCATATATTTTCCAAAATAACGGCGGACCCGGTGCTCGCCACTGCGAGACCTAAAGCTGTACTGACTAATTTCCCGGTTTTCATCAGTCGCGAATGGAGCATCAGAATGTCCTCGTCACCGCAGCTGGCAAGACGATTTCCTCGGTCCTCAATGTAAGATATAATTCGCCTGAAGTTGATGGTATCGCAGACCATGGTAGCGTAAAGGGTAGTCAGCATAGAAATAATATACGAGAGTTGTCTGAACTCTATGGAATTTTCCGACAAAACACTCAAGGTGAATTCTATGACAGCCGAGGCTACGAAGAGCGTGCAGTAGAACTTGACGAAGACGCTATAGGCGATGTATGCTTTCTGCGCTGCAGAATTTCGTGTGATCGAAGACGCGCGCCATATTCCGGTGACAACCATGAAACGTTTGGGGAAATCCAGGATGGAATTCTGTGGCCGCTCGCTACCAGTCATATTACCACCCCACTACGAAATGCACACATATCAGACGACTGCGTCATTCATATAGGACAGCCTCAGGACCTCCCCTTTCACACGAATCTGTTATTATTTACACGATTCATAGGACAATGCACGTTTTCCGCCGCAACTGCCCTGTAATTACGTGTGTAGCATGTCGACAATAGTTGATAGTAGACTTGTGGATATTCTGTGAATAATTCATAGCTTGCCAAGAAAATCAAACGATTCGCTATCTTGAAACATACGAGTGAACACCACGCGTTACTATTTTCGATGTACTTGGGTCGCACCACATTGGTGCGTTTAAAAAAAATGGAGAGATGTGCTCAGAAAGTTAGAAGAAAAGACATATCACAACCTTTGCACCTCTTGAAACAATATATAAAACTACAACTAGAAGTCATTCCCTTAAAATTTAGATTATTTCGATTTTTAAGTTAATCACTGTGGACAGATAACCGCTAGAATTAGATCCCGTTTGAAACAAAAAGTGTAAGTATACCCACAAATAAATTATTACTTGCAATTATATATTTGTATTCATTCAGACCGCTTTTTTCTGGATAAGCAATATCCGAGTAAGTTTGAACTAAACACAAATAAATTAATTGTATCCAAAGGTAAGTAAGAAATTAATGACAGTTCTATGACACTATCAGTAAATTACCTAGAAGACCAATACGGATTAGACGTCAACGACTACCTGCAATGGAAGTTTTAAATAAGATGTGCTTCAAAAAGCGAAAGAACTTTGGACCATTGTGGATAGTGAGATACTTAAGCCCATGACAATATCAACGTACGAGGTTAGCGCCAAAATTTCCCGGCCTGACATAGATGCAGCTCCAGTATCACGATAAAACTTTGTATTCTTTTAAATATATATCTTAGTGGGCTGCGAGAAAAAAAATTGAAGTCTTGCGTCAAATAGTTTTTTATTTACAGCAATTTAAAGAAGACGTGTAAAATTATTAAAGAAAGCCTGAATGGTGTGTACGGCCAAAGTTCTCGTTCGTATTCTGTAGGGAAAGAATGTTCAAAATGTTTTCAAATGGGGCAGGAGTCCCTTGAACATGATTGAAGAACTGGTCGACCAGTGAAGGTCATAACGGAAGATATTGTAGCGATTGTGGAAGAGGTGGTATTGAATGATCAACGTTTAAAGGTCAAGGAAATCTTAGCAATTATTAAGCTTTCTGATACAAGTGTTTGTCGAATCCTGCATGATAATTTAGGTATGCATAAGGTTAGTGCAAACCTTTCGGCTATTCAAAAACAACGCGGGTCGGAACCGAAGCCTGTGATTGAAACTATTGTGACGGGAGATGAAACTATGGTTCTCTATTATGACCCTCCATCGAAAAAAAAATCAATGGAGTGGCGTCGTAAGGGTGAAGCACTTCCAAGAAAATTCATATATATACACCTGTGCACTGCTGGTGTTGCACAAGATGCCATTTTAGAGTCTGGGTTCCAACAGATAAATCATCCTCCCTATAGTCCAGATATGGCCCCCCAGCGAGTGTTATTTGTTTGGGTATTTGAAAAAGGACTTATGTGGACGGCGGTTTAACGACGAAGGTGAGTTAAAAGAGGCTGTTTTAGTTTATTTTGCACACAAACCAAAAGTATATTTTTTCAAAGGGATTGAGTTGTTAATAAAGAGATGTAATAAGTGTATCGAAGCTAAGGGGGATTATATTGAAAAATAATAAAAAATTATTACTCTATTTTGTTACTTTCATATCCAGGTCGGGAAATTTTGGCGCTGCCCTCGTATGCGTACGCAAAATTGGTAAAATTGGTCGCCCGACCAAAATTCAACTTGTCAGCTTCGTGAGTGTGAGTCTAGCTAAGATATTTTGGATAAAAAGAGTGCATGCACGTTTCCGCCAGAACATGCAACTTGTAGCCAAGCTTAAATTAAGTAAACAGACAAATAAGTATCAAATTGGTGGTAGTTCTTGAACGTCAGATCTTGAACTGAAAGAAACTACACAAGCTTAATGCACTGTAATCAAAAAAAAAGTCGACTATTACACTCCTCTGAAATTACTTAGGCAACCTAGGTATATCTATTTATAATTATTCTTCATCAGAGTAACATAAGAGTAAGATCCCTTGATTACCTACAATAAGAGTTGAAGTACGTTAATAAAAAATGCATTCTAGTGAAGGCAGTACCGCCAAGGCAGATTGCATCGTCATCGCACCGAATGGTCCGATCGTCAACGTTAAGGGTTTCTGCGTTAACCTGGTCATCACCAGTAGCACCCTCTTGGACGATTCGTTTTGTCGGTACCACGGAGACTCATACAAACCATCAGATAGTGCGAGACTCTGCGAGTGTAACGTAAATGGTGGTACAAGTGCCACCACTATATCGTTCTTCTTACCTGCACCTTTATTTCGTTGGTGGTCCAACCCAACATGAGAATTTGCAACAGCAAGTAACACAGGTACGAAGCTGTAGGCGGCATCAACTTCGGCTCGCACTACGGACGGAAAAATCTAAGACATTTTCAGCAGACGTTCTTCCGATCTGCTTACCGTGGCCAGCTGGACCGAGACGGCAGCAACAGTCAGCGATTCGAATACGTACTCGAACAGAATTATATGCTTAACCAAATCGTTCAAGTCATCCACGTACCTAAAACGAAATTCTTGCTGTTTGCTCAAGAAACACCGTGAAGTTACCGTGATTTATTTGTTCTCATAAAATATAAGGCAACCCGAGCTTCTTCTATTAATAGCAAAAAACTTGGGGGTGATATTAAACGTCTCACTACATTTTTTTATATAAAATTGAATCAGAATCAAAAATCCAAAGCACAGAATAAATTTTTGAAAATCACTTCTAAATATTTTTGTTTAACTGAATTAAAGCAATTAAAATAAAACTGTTTATAAATCTTATCTCAATACTTAGTCTAACACTAGTGCAGTTCCAAATTAATTAGTATGTGGATTGACTTCTATGAAAAAAATGGTGTAAAATACCATTAAAACCAGAAGTAAATTAAAAAGTATATAGAATATGCTATATATACAATATAGAATCTTTTTATCTTCTCAAATCTTACTTAACTTTTAGATTTCAATCAATTCATTCAAATGATAAATACTTGGAGAAGGTATCCGATGTCCCACACGTATCAATTTTAGTCCCACTGCTTTTCCTTATTTGTACTTCTGGCATTTTGAGCTTTAAACTTTAAATCAGATGTCTCAAGGCGACAACTTAAAACTTAATCCAAGTAAATCATGTGTTATGGTTTTTGTAAATGATAAGAATGTTAACTTCATAGAGAACAAATTAAATACAGCGATCAGCAATTCAAAATTCAATTTTATGAATCTGGGAGTTATCTTAGCAAATTCAGATTCAAAGAACAAAGAAAAAATATTTCAAAAATCCTTTGCTTCCAGGAACGTTTTCTATAATAATAGACATATTTTAAGTAAACAAACGAAACGAAGTCTGTGCGAATCTGTGGTTCTATCTGATTTGAATTATTGTGACTTTGTCCATGGTTTTTGTTTGAATCAGGACAGTATGACATATATCACAAAACGCATTAGCTAAGAATTCTAGATTCCTCTATATTTAAGGTAATAAATAGTCCTAATTCGTCGGTTTCCATAAAAAACCGCTAAATATTTCGTAACAATCTCCACAATATTCCAGATTCCGTGCCAACTTCGTTGGAATTTCGCCCGTCGTTCCAATTATAATAGTCTTGATCGTCCTTGCACCCCAGCTCTACTTCATGTCCTCAGCTCCTGATGTTTCTTGTCAATGTTAGTGGGGGAAGGTACCGAAATGTCCACCAGAGTAATATTTCGTTGGCTCTTGTCATATATCATAATGTCTGGTCTGCTGTGTTGTACCAGTCTATCTGTTTGTATTTGTCTGTCCCAGTAGACCCTGTAATGCATATATTCTACTACTGTTTGCGGCATGTACTGATAATACGGCGTTTTATCTTTTATAAGGCCGAGTTTGTGGCAGATCTCGTTGTGTATTATTTTTGCAACGTCGTTGTGCCTTGCCGTATACTCGCGCATCCACTAAGAAGATGTTCTATGTTTTCGTGATCCTCGCCACACATACGACATCTTGTATCGGTTATTCTTTCGTCCTTAACGATGTATTTCAGGTAAGATTTTGTAGGGATGATTTGATCTTGTATTGCACATAAGAATCCTTCGGTCTCTGGGAATATGTTGCTTGATGTAAGCCATTTCATCGTAGCTGGGGCGTCGATATATTCGCTGCTAAGAAGGTGGGGGTATCTGCCATGCAATTCTTTCTCTCTCCATCTGCTTTGAAGGGTGGCGATATTGTAATCTTGGTTACATCTGTATTCCCTATTTTTAAGGTTAGGTGGCGATAGGCTTCCATCCATTTCGATAACAGGTCTATGCGGCGCCGAGGACGTCTCTTTACCATAGAAATACTGTCTGAGTAACTCCACCTGGCTCTTGTGGCGGAGGCGTATGTCAGTGATTCCCCTCCCGCCTATCGCTCTAGGCAAGTGGAATCTCTCAATGCAAGCTTTGGGGTGATGTTTACGGTGTTTTGTAAAGCAGACTCTTGCGATGCGATTGAGTTCATTGAGGTCGGTTCGGATCCACGGAACAACACCAAAGCTATACGTAACAACTGGGACAACATAGAATTATATTATTATTATTATTGTTGTTGTTATTATTATTATTATTATTATTATTATTATTATTATTATTATTATTTGGTATCTACCCGCTAACTAACATAAAAATTTGAAGATTTTGGAAAAATTATTATTACTAATTTTTTTTGTAACCTACCTCTCAAATATTAAATATTTTGGTATATCACACCTTCCTTTGAAACGTAAATTAGAGCTACTATTTCATATGTTCATTAATATATTGATATAACATAGCTTCTTTTTAAACGTTGATTACAACTATAAAATTAAATTGTGTTCAATTGTCAGAGAACTTCATCAGATATACTACTGACGAAAACAGCTCTTATTTCGACCATTTCAACTTCTTACCCAATCACGCGTTGATGCTGAACAATTAGATGCTTCAGGCTCAGTCCAACGTCTTCCTTTGCGTCGACCTTCCTGAACCTGATACGTAAAGCGCTCAGGGCGAATGCTGCGAAAATCATACACGTCAGCATAATGCTCTTCACCGCCAGAGTCAGCGTCGTATTAAATACGCAGACAATTTCATTGACTAGAACGAAAGCAACGGCGTGTTTGCTTTTGTCGATTCCGAAATAGTAGACGTCGAAGATGGTGTCCACTTCGATCGTATCATTACCGCCAGAGCTGCGTTTGAGGGTCGGTAAGTTGCGATACAGATTTTCCAACACAATAGCAGTTCCGGTACTGGCAACGGTAAAAACCAAAATCGTGCTGACGAATTTCCCGATTCTAAGATGTCGGGAATGCAATTTCAAGATTTCCTCGTCGTCGCAAGTAGACAGGTGCGTTTCTTCCTCCGTTATGTAGGATATTACGCGTCGGAAGTTATCCGTACCGCACACCAGCATGGCATAGAGTACCGTCAGCATCGGAATGACAAACGACAGCTGGTTGAGCATCCTAGAGGTTGAATTTTGGTTGTCAAGGTCAGCGCGAACTCCGCGAAAGCACATGTCACGAATATCATGAAATACAGTTTGACGAATGCGCAATACACTGCGTATAATTTTCGTAACTTGGGATTTGCGGTAGTCCACACAGGCTGCCATATTCCAGTGATCATCATGAATCGTTTTGGGAAATTTAAGATGGATCGGTTTAAAAATGTCGGGATCATGATGACGCGCCCTGTCGGACGTGCACAAGGAATTTGTGACGACTGCGCCGTTTCGTCTTTTTATAAGGGCTACAATACTTCGGAGGCATATGTTATCATAATTTTTGCGATAATATAGGTTTTCCTTAGTCGCTACCTTGTAATTACGGTTTGTGGTTTTATTTATATATCCGCTTTCGTATGGATGATTGTCAAAGGAAAGTTAAGGGAGGAGCCTGTGTGTCACGATATTATTTGCGCCAATTGTTATTCGCTGTAGTGACGAACTAAAAGTAAGACATGGCGGATCTTCCCCAGTTAAACCACCAAGTGGTTGAAATATTTTGGACTAAGACAAAAGTTTGACGACTGGGATGTGAGGCAAGTTTTGGATTAGTTTTATCCGGTATATCCATTTAATTTAAAAACAATTTTTAAGATTTTGTCGGAGGTAGTTCAAAAAACGTGATTTATGGGATGGAAACAGATTCAAAAATCTATACTATGTCAAATTTATTTCGGGTTATACAAAATCACTTCTAAATGTTTTGTATTGTTCGGTATAACTAGAGAAAAAGTCAACTAACTATATTTTAATTAAGAAAGGGCTCTATTTTTGTGTGTACACACTTACAAAAACATTTATTCTAAAGAATAACCAATTTATTCTTAAATTTCAGCTTTGTTTTACCCCCGACTTCACCAGAAGCCTACTTCGATATTTTAACATAAAATCTGATAACGTGGGATAGCTCACAAAATCGCGTTAATAGTAGACAGGACACCAAAAGGTAACTAAAAACCAAAATTAGATAATACAAATCCTTTTTTTAATATATTTTATAGTGCTGTTACAAAGCTTAAAAATGTAGTGCTAATTTCTCAAGGAAAGTGAACAGAGTGCGTTGTGTTTTATCACACCTTGAGCTTAGAACCATCATTGCGTGACATTCCCACTTCTAGACACAGCATTTCATTAAAGAAAAAGATGTCCAAACAGTTGTAAAAACTGTTTATAATTCGTTACTTAATCAAGAACCTAACACTAAGGTTGCTGGAAATGAATTATGTGATTTGGCTAATATAACCTTGACTTCTGTGAAAAGAATGGTGTCAAATCTTATTGAAGCAAACAGGAAGCTTAAAGATTTGGGTTTCAGCAAACGTTTTATTGAAGGGGACAAAGACGGAGTTAAACGGACAATTTATGAAATTTGCAAACATAAAGCGGTACCCACACTACTATTAATGACGAAACCCAATTAAGCTATGGTTAATTACTAGCCTCCGGATATTTTTGTCCACAATGTCCACAAATATCACAAAATACGTAAGAGCGATTATAAAATTGCCGATATGAGTATATAATATCGTTAAGAAATTTCGCAATTTGAATCATTCAATTACTTGATGAGAGATGGATGGCCCACAGGAAGTGATGATTACTTTCATAGCTGTAGAACAACAGCTCCGTCTAATAATTTTTACTTTCCGGGTCAGAAAACGGTTGAGTCCCAAATGCTTTGTGGATTAGCTTTAAAAACATTTAGGACTCATACGGTTACTATCACGAAGATGCAACTGGAGAACCTTTCGAACAGTGATTCGAGGAATGCGGTCTACATTCCCTGGAATAGCTTTATACAAAATCACAAATAACATGAAATTGGAAGAAGTTAGCTTTTAGAAAGTTTAAAGGTATTCATTCACAAGACGAAATAGGTCATACAGCATCAGCATTTTAAGTGCTAGTGTTGTAGATTCAACAAAAAAGGCGTTTGTGGGATGTCCCGGATATTTGTAAAAATTCGGTTAACCATGTTATTACTGAAGGTATATGTAATATAGCCAACATCACCGATCATTTTTACCTGTATGTGTTAATTATAACCTGAAGATGAGATGGCTACTTATGGCCGAAACGTACAAAAACATGTATATACAATGTTTGTTCCATTTGAACGATAAAACAACAATACTTTTATGAATAATACGGCCAGGAAATAGCTATTATACCTGTCATACCTGTTGAAAATTCTTTTAGAACCTTCAAATATATAGTGAGATAAAACCATATACCTGTGAAAACATTAGACCTACTATAGTGAGGGCAATTATATTTTCATAGAAAACGGAATAATCTTCTACGACTAGTTTTTTCGTAAATATATAAAAAGATATTGCCACATTTTGAGAAAATGTTGTCACCAATATGCCCAGATACAAATTTAGAACTGTGGCTAGTTCTTATTAGTTAGTTTTGGATGAAAACCGAAACTGAATGGCAGCCAACGCGCATATTCTCTATTCAAAACTTTTTTCAAAATTCCGACCTCTGTACATCTACTAGGTATATGAGTTTACAATTCACATATATTGGCCACATTATATTTGACAGCGGCAATTTTAAAGACATTTATTTAATAAAGTGACTTCTAAAGCGAAGAGAATTTCAAAACTGATAACAATTTCCCCAAGGAAATATTTAAAAATTAAATAATGTAACTATAATCAACTAAGATAATTTATGGGGGAGTGAGGAATTTACTATTACACCCTCTCATTAAGTTAAAATATTCGTGTAGTTCGTGTTCTTCTTATAGTGTTTATATACATCGGTCTTGTTATTTTGAAGTAGAAAATTCTTTGGTAACATCAAAAAATGTAATAAATAATTAGCAAATAATATCTGTCAATATTTATCACTTAAGAGTGGTTTACTTTACTGATTCTTAATTTTGATAAATGTTTGGTTCTGTTCTCAAAAATGCCTTACTAAACAATTTTTAATTACATAAAAAAATAACGGCACCGGTAATTTGAGATCGCTTACAATCAAATTATAATTTAACTACAATAAAATGTTATAATTAACAAAGACAACTCAAATGCGTTATCGTATTTTTCCAGGTCCGATGAAGATCCCAATATTCCCTGTGAATCCTCCAAACTTGAATAATTCACTAGTGGCTTTTCCCGCAACGATTTTCCTCAAATCACAGGGCGGAAAATCACGCGGGACACGAAACCTCTCATTTTCGTAATTACAGAGTAGAGTGAAAAGTATATGTTCGGATGGGATCCCATGAAAGGTATTACTTCGACGCGACAAACTAACTTTGCATTAACCACAGAAGGTCTAGACCCGTCGTAACTTAAAATCGACGTGTAAGGTTAAAATTAACTGAAGATGTGTTTGGATTTTCCAACCAGAATATAATAATAATGAAACCTCGTTGAGCAGAAACTACTATTCGAGTTCCGATTTTGTTGTATGCTCCTTCTAAGACCCAGGGGACTGGTAAGTAAACATATTTCTTTTGAGGGAGTTTAACTCGTAGTTTGTTAGTCAATTTTTATAAAAGTTTACAATAAACTTCCTCTAACTTTGATCAATCATATCATTGACAATTTTTAAGCAAAATCTCAGCAACCAATTTTTCGCAACATTAACGAACATTACCTTAAAATAGTGCTAAATATCTTTGTTGTTATATGCCTTCACTATTTATGCTACTTTTGTTATTTCTTTTGCGCTCCAATGATGGCTTTATGATTTTCCCTTTTTTCGCTATATACACTTTTTACGGAATACTATATTTATTCTGTATTAATATTCATTTAAATAAACGTTTTTATATATTCATCTGGAATTGGTTGTTTGCTTTAGGGAATCGCATAAAAACGATGATGTTGGATATCTTCCCGAACAAATTTAACATTCTGTATGGTGTTTAAACGAATATAGACTGCTTATTTATTATTATTCTTATTATTGATTTCTTTATTTTTCAATTGATTTGTAACATATGGTACAAACATTTTTTACAAAACTTCTGGATTCCTCCTACGTCGGTTTTTGCTGAGTCGAACTTGCTGACGTTTCACCGTTGGCTTCTTCAGAGCTTGACTGAAACTGACTCGCATTTTACTCTTATATACTGCTTGTATAGTGTTTGAGGGGGGCGGAGATAAATGAGAGATATAAACACATAATTTTAGCATTAATTAAAATATATCATCTACAGGGGTATATTCCTTCACATTTATTTTATAATCAACACACACCACTACTTCATTAAAGTCTCCGATATTCATTACAGACCTTCCTTTCTCGCCTGTACTTGGAAATATGAACCACGCCCGACCGCATCAATCCATCCTGAACTTCTCAAAACGCTTTATGATGACTTCAGGAATATGGCGACTGCCCACCATTAATTGTCCCACCATAGCTAAAATCTACGCTGTCTATTCCACCACTATTCAAACGTTCTACTCTATCGTAGCGGTGTCCTTTGGCATCCAATTCGCGTCCACTTTTATCGACAAGTTCGCGAAAAACTCGGAAGCAGTCTTCAAAGAGGCTTCATACATCATAACTCTAGTCATTATTGAATACGCCTCGATCGTATGCCAGAGGAAGAATATGAGGAATATAATGACGTTTATCTTACACGAAGAACACCATATATTCGAAAACGAGGACGAAGATGTCCGCAAGACCTATCTCGGACATCTGAAGTTCTGCTGGAAATCGAACGCGGTGCTCTTCGCGTTTACCTGTTGCAGCGGCGCAGCCATAGTCTTGGAAAACTTGGTACTACAGCTGGAAGTGCATAAACTGAACCGGGAGCTCAACGAGACCCGTCCAAAACCCCTACCCTTGGATTTATACTATTGGCAGTTCGACCCTGATAAATATGATACGTTCTTACTGATCGTACATGATGTCTGGTTGACCAATACGATGTTCCTGATCGTATCCACCAAAACGATCGTTTTTACGTGCATCATATTCGCGCCCTCCATTATGACAAGGTTGCAGATGAAGTTGAACACGCTGAAGGAAGGGGAGGTTTGGTCCAGCGTGAAGAAACTGGCACGAGAGCACCAGAAGATCATCGAGTGAGTGTTCATAAAATATAGTTTCAGTGTTGACAGATTGATAGAGAATAGTGTTGGTAATTGTCATAAAGCTTATATTCTCATTTCAATTCCATTTTCTAGTATCGCAACTTTGGCAACTGGAGGCTTTGGTTTAAAACAAGACATTATTTCACTTAGAATGATATTTGGTGGTTACCTTAACTGTAATTTTTTTCAATACTTCCAATGCTTCATTTTAGGTTTGTCGAACAATTAAATGATTCTATAAAATACTTAATTCTGCTGGAATATCTGCTCAACTCGCTCAACGTCGCGACCATCTCTGTTCAATTTATAACGGTAGGTTCCACACACCTTTATCTTCTCCTTTCATCTCCTTTGGAGAACCTTGTTACATTTTCATGAGAGTCGTTTTTTTTACAGGACGATAAGAAAATGATAGCAGGACTTGTGTTTTACCTCAGCTTCCTATTCGTGCAGACTTTTATCCTAGGTTGGAGCGCCAATGAAATCAAACTGCAGGTAAACTTCACTTTTCGTATATTCATTTAACGAGTTCTGTTAATTTGATTTTGATTGTTCGCAGAGCACGGCTTTATCAGACGCTATGTACCAGACTTCGTGGTATAACCAGAGCCGGTACATTCAGAAGATGCTGTTGACAATGATGGTCCAAAGTCAGAAGCCTCTGGCGGTGACAGTCGGCCCTTTCGAGGCCATGACGACGCAGTCTGCTCTAACGGTAGTGGCTAGATCTTTTGAGGAACATCTTATCGAATCAACCAAAACAGTTATTTCTGAACTGCCGATACCACCAGAAACTAAATCAACTAAAATACTGTAAATGAGTGTCTTTGTGCATGGTGCAGAGTACAAAAACCCCATATGTACGATGCTTGGGTTCGGTAAACAAAATCAGTAATTTTTATTTGAAAAAAATCCTATATTTACGGGTTCATTTAATCAATAATAATTGAACCAAATAGATTGCTAAATCCAACACTTGATCAAAAGTTGCTATTAAAAATATTGCACTATGATTTTGCCAACAAAATAAATATTTTAAGTAATATAAAAAAAATAATGAAAAATATTTTATGCAAAAGTTGTTTGTATGAATCTGAATATGCAAATAGGTGCTTCTATACAGGAATCTCAAAAGTAAAGTCTGTTCATAGATATAAGAAAGTGACTAACTGATACGAATTAAGGAAAGACCCGGGCAAGCTGTAAGAATGAAATATGGCCGAACAGGTCCGTAATTTGCTTGGAACTTAATTATTTGGGGTTTTGTTACGAAAGATACTAAACAATATTTATTTATTTATGTTCGTATTTATGTTTAAATGTAAAATAAAATTACAAATTATTTTTATTACCTACTTAAATTACTTAAAATTATTCACGTAATATATCAGTATCACTATCGCTATCATCGCCTGTTCTAATTATTATTATTTGTTCTATATTATTTGCAATATGGATGTTCTGCTTTTTCTATATGTTTTCTATATGTTTAACAGAATTTGCCCAACTTTGTGGAGAGATGTTAAAAACTTCGGTTTCTATATGTTTGCGAACATTGGAATCAACACGGGGAAAAACATTGTTACGACGAATGGCAGATTTCAGTTGGTGCCAATGGGATTAAATATGCAGTGGCAAAGTGGAAGCCTTAAAACTGTATGCCCTAGATTTTTTGCATAATATCCTTTTGTAGGTTCAAGCTTTGTAGAACCTCAATTAATTGCTTTTTGGTATAATCTTCTTGAAAATAAATGTCGTTATTATACATGCAGTTGTGAATTGTTGATTGTTGTTGAATGATTATTAATAAACTTAAACCAAAGAATATTAAACACATGACCACCCGTGGATAACCCCTTTCAAAAGCAATTGGTCGCTTTCTTATATCTATGAACAGACCATACCTATATTATTTCATTTGTAAATTTTTAAGAAATGTTTTTGGCAGGTTCCTTCAGGTTTTCGAAGATGTAGTTTCAATAGTCCCTTAGACATCTTGAATAGATTTTTAAAAGTCACCGACAAATTACGACGTTTTTCAAAGATACATACATTTTTCGAATAGAACATGTTAACGTTATTGTATGGAATTACGCGTAATTTAATTGTACTTTGATTAGATCCGCTCTATACCTCAACGGTGTTTGTCTTTAGTTCGTATTTTGTTTCAAAAGTCAGTCAATCCCCAAAGGTTTTTATAGTTAGCATTCGTTTTGAACAAGCTTGACATGGTTTTGGTTTTGTTTACGTCCAGATCATCTAATTTGGACCCCTTGGATTTTTCCCTCCGTGACTCTAAATAACTGAACCTGTACAAACCATAGGCAAATGGCAAACCTTCATTTTGTATGTCTTGTTCTTTTCTCATTTGTTTTATTATTACGTTGTAAATGCATTTTTTTATTTTGATTTCATATTCTAATAAAAGTGAATTTTCACCGATTGCCTGGATCGATTTTTTTTGCGAAACTTTTTTTTACATTTTTTGAAATTTAAATTGAACAGTATTAAAATCGAAATGAAAGAGACTCTCAATAATAGCAGTATTGGTTGATTCGATAAAAAATTTCTTACTTTGAAAAGCTGTATTTTTTTTCAGGTGATGAAGGCTTCATATTCCTACGTGACGCTGATGATGAATAATTATGACAAGCGGTACCAACTTTAGAAATATCGTATGGAACTTTCCAGTCGTTGTAAATATTAAATTTGAGAATTGATTTTTAAGCCTGCGACAATTTACTTATCTTTCCATTTTCTGGCTAAAACACTACGTCAAAAAATTATCAAACACTCAGCGGTATTCCGAAATTATACTCGCGGCATAATAATATGTGTTAATACTTCGTCAATGCTTCATACGCTCCTGTTCCCACAAAAATATTCATATTGATGAACGCTTGGGGAAGAGAAACGCAAGGTCCCGTTTTTCCAATAATTATAGGGAAAGTGAATGCGGAAATGCACACATGCCCTGTAACGTTCCCTGTAATAAAAGCTTGTAGGAGGAGCTCGCATTTTGGAGACAAGTTTTGTTCTCTCAGTCCTCAGTTCTAGGCATACTGGTGCTGTGGTTCAACATAACCTATAGAAAGTTTTTTTTTGCCTATCCAATATTCGTTGACGTTAATTGGTGATCAATTGGGACATATTGTTTAGGTAAATTAGGTAAATTAAGTTCAAATTCCCTTAATATAGATCCGAGCGATACACCCGTTTAAGACCTTCTTAAATGATAATTTATAGCATTAAATAATATTACTATCAACGAATTAAAATTCAAAATATGTAATAAAAAAATGGAAATAAATCAAATAATATTAACAAATTACAATGCATTCTAAAATATTTTATACAATACAAATGCATAATAATTTTGCCCATTACAGCAACCATTAGGTAAAAGTGGACTTTTCCAATTCAAATCATAATTTTGTTAAATTTTTCTTCCAGTCGAGCTATAATTGTAGAATTTTTAATTCGGACATATAACAAGCCTGACACAATAACTAATAACAATTTTTCTAAGCTTAGAAGGAATAGCGAGCAAAAATAGGTGTTCCTACATCCAATTGATACGTAGTTTTCCATTCCTTCATCCATCTTCAAATATCGTAGCTTTTTGGTCACTTTATTAGTCGACCACCTACTATAAGGTATTGCTCTGTAATTGACAAAAAACTAGAAAAAGACAAAGTAGTACAACGCTTACTATTTGCCTGAAAATATTTCCAAAGATTTTAAGCAAGTTTCTTCAAATAGCCGTTTTTATTTCACGTAAAATTTGAATATTTGAATGAACGCTCCTCATGCCTCATCCCGCTCTCCATCTAGTAAGTTATTTAAAATATGGTATCATTAAAGTAATTGTTACAGCATATTGGGTCCCGCTGCTGTGCAGAATGATGAATATAGTCGACAGACGAATCCTAAATTTTTCAAAGTACTGTATGATTTTTGTCGGCATATGGCGACTAAGATTGCCCATCGAAAGCAACACCCTTCGCAAAACGTACGAAATATACTCCATATTCGTCAAAATTTACATGCCGCTATACCTGCTATCGATGTGCATCCATTTCATCCTCGCCGTCGGATCCAAGAACGAAACCCTAGAAGATTTAATGAAAGAATTTTCCTACGTCCTCGTCAGTTTGATAACCGAGATCGTGGCAGTTCTCTGTCAAAAACGCACCTTTAAACAAATCATATCCTACGTTATGGAGGAAGAAAAAGACATTTTAAATTCGAGAGAAGAGGAAACCTTGTACCAATACAAGCGCAATCTGAACTTCTGCATCGCTGTCAATTTGGCGGTCTTCATTTTCCCAGTTTGTACTGCCGCCTCCATATCCGTCGAAAACGGCAGGATCAGACACCAAATAGACCGATACAATAGCGAACACAACGCCACGTTGGACAAACCTTTCCCGTTCGCTTTGTACCTCTACAAGTTTGATAAGAACAACCACCAAATCATAGTAATGTTCGTAGAACGGGTTTGGCAGGTTCTGGTCGTGATTCGGGCGATATCTACCAAGAACATAGTGATTTCTTGCATCATTTTCACGCCGTCAATACTGAAACGATTGCAGATCAGGTTTAGGCAATTGTCGAGACAGGAAGGAGACACGTTCGAACTTTTAAATGATCTTATTTCGCAACATCAAAAAGTTATAAGGTAAGCTACTAAATTATAAAACTCCTTCTGTGGACGTTAGCTGCGTCTATTTCAATAATATCTCAACGTGTCGATTGGTGTCGAGGTTTAATTTGTTTTTTAAATTATCTCATACTAGATATGGGTCCTGGATACCAGCGTGAATATAAGACATCCGAAAACCGAACAATACGCTACACAAATCAATAGACATCTACACATAACAACTAATTCACAAAACTGTAGACACTACGCCTCAAAACAATTCAATTAAGAGATGTACTAAAAAATGTTTTTAAACGACGCCATTTTTCAAATGATTTCTCAGTTTTTGGAACCTGGAACAAACGTCCGCCATGGGCAATGGTTCCTTTTCCTTCAACTAAACAAACACAAAAAAAATGAAGCGCTTGCCAATCTTACATATAAAAAGAGAAGGTGATATTTTATTGTTCTAATAACTTCTGCTCTAACTGCTAACTAACCAACGGCAAACTTGTTACTACAGTACAAAAAAACACAAATTTATCTCCAAGAGTTAATCGCAACGCATGCATTGCTTGGTGGCAGCTGTGGGGCTACAAACAATGAATTTTGGCCTCTATTACCTTGTGGTTGGCAATGCGTTATTGCACGCTATTGTATATCGCGATTGCCCAATACTGTAAGCATTTTTAACCACTAATAGTGAATAAATATTTATTTCAAAATTTTTATTTTACCTAGTTAAATCTTTTTCATGATATAAATATAAAAGAAATAACGAAATAACTATATTATAATTATATCATAAAAGTATAATAATTTTATTATAATAAAATACATAAAATTAAAGTTGTATAATAAAGTTAATTGTTCAGTCTACTAAAGTTAAAAAATCTAATTATTAAATAGAAACAACAGGCAAGAAACAAACAATTGATGTTAACATGTCTATTTTCTAATCTGATAATTAATAATACTAAATTAAAGGTAATATATTTTTTTGTAAAAATTGCACGATGAAAGTATTTACAATAAGAGCGTTTTCTTAAATTTGCCACTAAATATTCCCACTGCTAAGAAAACCAAACAAACAGACGTGGCCGGGGTTATTTATTTTTAAAAAATTCCCTTAGAACATGACACATTTTTTTTATTTATTTTTATTTATTTATTTCGAACAGAACAAATAGAAATAAAGCGTTTCAAAGTCCAATAACAACAAACTTCGTCGTCCCATAGCGTACCAGGTATTTATATATTAGCTGGACCGTGGGCTAGTTCTAGAAGGTTAAGGAATTACGTGCTTCTTAGTCAGCAGACAATGTAAACGATACCGATGACTGAGGTTCAACGAAAAGATTATCCTAACAGTGAGATGGTTGTAAACAAACAGATCGAATTACTTCATATAACAGACATGACTAGACTGAAATATGAAACGCAAACAAACAGACATAACTCTACTGAAATACGAAGAGAGACTACATTAATCTAACATCGCCTAATAAATTGTGTCAGTTTTGGCTAGTTTCTATTCTAGTATAGGTGGCCCTGAATAAAACTCCATTGAAGCAATCGCCAACAGCTAACTGGTGGCAGCTGTGGGGTTAGCAGGAATGCTTGTTGCTCTATATTGCATAATTCTTTCTTTTGTGTTCAAATATATGATTGTTTCAGATATGTCAGCGAACTGAACGACTCGATAAAATATGTGATTTTGTTGGAGTATCTTTTGAACTCGCTGAACGTAGCGGCTGTCTCAGTTCAGTTCATCTCGGTTGGTATTCTCAAAAATTTTTCTCCTAAACTGAAAATGGTTTTAATTTAAGAACAAGTTAGCTTACTCTCCTCTGTTCTACTTCATTTATCTGTTTGTCCAAACGTTCGTTTTGGGTTGGAGTGCGAATGAAGTAAAAGTCCAGGTAAGTCACAATAATACACAAAATCCAACACCTTTTTATTGACTTTAACAGAGTGAAGCGCTTAGCGACGCCTTGTACGAGAGTCTCTGGTACGAACAAAACAACAGAGTCAGAAGGATGATACTCTATATAATACTTCGATCCCAGAAGCCTCTGACCTTGACCATTGGACCGTTTGACACAATGACCACAGCATCTGCAGTCAGAGTGAGTTCAAACATTCGATTGGCGTCAAACGTGTTATGTGTGCGTCGTTTTGCAGATCATGAAAGCTTCGTACTCCTACGTTTCGCTTATGGTTAACTAAAATTCTCATCAATCAGCTAAATAGCTAAGAATTAAGAAATTAGAAATTTGTAGTCTAGTTTGGCATCTCGCTAAAATCGTCTTTCTGGTACCACTTTGTCAATGATGTAGCAATTTATCATTGTGCTCATAAAAAATAAAATTTTATGAAATTGTAGTTTAATAAAAGTGATAAAAATATTTAAAGCGGCAAACCACCAGCTGCCGAACGAATCTTGTCTATTAACATGCCAATTTAATTTTTTTTTGTAATTTTTGTTTTGTTTTTATTTGACCGACCGTCGAACCGAACGCATCACAAACAATTCGAAGTGCAAGACAATTAAAAAAGTGCCGGTACGTGTGAAACCCGCGGGTGCAGAGAATCGACAACCTCCTTCAACGGCCGCACCCTTTCGGAGTCGTCATTATACCCTCGCTCTCGAAACTTTATTGAAACGAAAATCAAAAATAGCAAACAGCTCAAATACAGTCCACTTAGATTTTCGCACATATAATTTTTGGTATGTATATATATATATATATATATATATATATATATATATATATATATATATATATATATATATATATATATATATATATATATATATATATATATTTTTTTTTTTTTTTTTTTTTCTTTTCACGTATTGATTCACGGATGGAAAAATGTGATGACACTATATTCCGGGATATCATCCGTTCGCTTGTTGAACTCCGACTGGAATCCAGATTTTAGGTTCTCTCAGGATGGACAAGGACGAAGAGGCACTCTTGCTTATAGAAGAAAACGAAGATCTTCCGCCGTACATAATGGATCTGTCAAGACATTGCCTGAAAAACGCTTACTTTATGTACAACGGGAAAATTTACAGACAAACAGATGGAGCAGCAATGGGATCATCTCTCTCACCTGTGATTGCCAACCTCTTCATGATTTACTTCGAAAAGAAAGCAATAAAGAAGGCAAATCTGAAGCCAAAACTATGGACAAGATACGTTGATGACGTATTTGTTGTATGGCCTTTTGGCAAGGAGGAGCTTTTGAAATTCCTAGATCATCTGAATTCCATTCACCCAAGGACTCAATTTACAATAGAACTTGAAGAGGATAACAGTCTGCCCTTTTTAGATGTGCACATCACAAGGGCCGAAGATAGACATTTAGAACACACTGTCTATAGAAAACCAACACACTAATAGATATCTGAACGCTAAATCTCATCACCACCCATCACAGATACAGGCAGTGGCAAATACATTAATTGCTCGGTCCTTCAGGCCCACAAACGAGAGGAACAGAGATGAAGAACTGAAAAAAATTAGTACCTGTCTTCGACAAAACGGATACCAAAGGCGCATCATCAGCAATGCAATCGGTAAACAACAACAGCCGCAGCAGAGAGTGCAGGACGAGACCCAACAAAGATCGATCGCTGTCCTGCCATACATCAAGGGGGTTACTGACAAAATCGGCCGAATATTACGGAAACACGACATATCAACGGCATACAAACCTGATCATACCATCGGAGCAATCCTAAGAAACCCAAAACAAAAAATTACTCTGGAAAACCAAGGAGTATACAGTGTAGCATGCGGATCGTGCAGCCTGACGTATGTGGGACAGACCAACAGAGGGATTTCAGCCAGGCTCGAGGAACATCGTTTAGCCATAAGAAACAAACAAACAACATCTGCTTTGTTTCAGCACCAACATCAGACAGGCCATAAAATTGATTTCGGCACTTGCAAACAAATAGCTAATATTCCTGATTTTTCGCTCCGCTCGTGTCAAATAAACTCCTGAGTCAAATGCCGCACTTGCTGCATAATATACTATTAACTCACCCTTTTATTAAACACTCGCTCCGCTCGTATCAAAAAAAGTCGTAAGTCAAATGCAGTTTACCTATTCTATTCACTCAGTATCAGGCAACTAAAAAGTTGTGTTTCTTTATCAAACTTGTGCATTAATTTCAGTCAGAGGACTTTATTTTTAAATGCACGTGGAAAGAAAAAATTCTTTCTTTATTCAGATATTTGAACTAGATTTTAACAATTACAATTAACAATAAGTCATTTAAAAATAAAAGTTAAACTGCAAATATTCCAGAAAAACACTTTTAAAATTTTTAAGATAATATGGGCCATACAGCTGCTGCAGATCAGTAATACAATGAAAATACAATGTAGGCAATATACCAATTCTTTTTTTTCCTCAGAGGACCATCCTCTGCAAAACGCACTCGCTATCGTACTTATCGTTTTGAAGGTAATTTCAAGGTATGGTAATTAAGTAAAATAGTTTAGTAAAGCAAAATTCGTTTTAAAAAAAAAGCATTGGAAAAATTCCACAAACTGTGGCGAACCGATTATTTTATTTAATTTAAATCGCAGCCCACATATTAAAAGCATTTTCCGCATATAGTTCAATTTTTACACCTCCACGAATGACAGAATTCTAGCATGTTTCCTCTCTCCTAATCCACGCAAATATCTTATTTACAGTGTAGGCGTATCGTAGGACTAGACACAGTCTTTTATTTCCATAATTATAGGGATGGTAGAGAAAAATGCATACGAATATCGGTAGAAATTTTCCCTGTAATAATGATTTTATGTGGAGAACTTTATATAGTCGTTTTGATATTTGAAACATCAGTTTTGGCCGGACTGTCGCCGTTGCAGCCTAGCTTTTACCTTTTGCCGACCCACGAGATAGCTAACTGTGAGTATATTCGGATTTACGAATTAGCGATAAGTTGTTCGTTGTGATTATTATATTCTCTATAAGACACAAGTCATTTTTAGTGCATTTTATTAAAACAATCTTCAACTTAGATATGTATAACTCATAAAAAAATAGTACGCGTATTACTTTTAAATTGTCCAGAGCTTTCATTCAAAATATACTATATATACATTTTTTTTTTCAAAAATCTTAAAATAATCTTAAGAAAGTTTTTAATTTTAAATTGGGACAATATGGGATAATATGGTGGCTGTGTTATGTAAATAAGGAATTAATTAGGTTTTTGTTATAATGTTTGTATGGATTTTACTCTCTTCGTATAGATGCTTTTTGATTGTTGAAACAATGAGGGTAGTCAATCGACCGATTCTCAATTTTTCAAAGTACTGCATGCTCTCCGTTGGGCTATGGCGACTAAAATTGCCCGTCGAAAGCAACGTCCTTCTAAAAACGTACGTAGTGTATTCTGGCATTGTAAAAATCTATATGCCGTTGTACTTGATGTCGATGTGTATCCATTTCATCGTCGCCTTGGGAACACCAAACCAAAGTCTAGAAGTTCTCATGAGGGAATTTTCCTACATTCTCATCAGTCTGATAACCGAGGTCGTGGCGGTCCTCTGTCAAAAAAAAAACTTTAAACGAATCATATCCTACGTCATGGAAGAAGAAAAGGACATATTAGTGTCCGGCGAAGACGAAACGCTGTACCACCACAAGCGCCAGCTCAAATTTTGCAACGCCGTCAATTTAGCAGTCTTCGTTTTCCCGATTTGTACAGCCGCCTCCATAGTAATTGAAAACGCCAGGATCAGGCATCAAGTCAACGGGTACAATAGGGAACACAACGTGACGTTGAAGAAACCTTTCCCGTTCGAATTGTACCTGTACAAGTTTGACCAAAACAACCACCAAACCACTGTCATGTTTGTAGAATACCTTTCGCAGATATTGGTAGTCCTTCGGATAATATCTACCAAAAATATTGTTATTTCCTGCATTATTTTCACTCCGTCAGTTTTGAAACGATTGCAGATCAGGTTTAAACGAATGGAGAGACAGGAAGGGGATAGTTTCGCAACAGTTACGGATCTAATTTCGCAACATCATAAAATTATAAGGTAAGCTGAGACTAAAAGCTCAACTACCACAATCAGGGTGATTCCTGAAGAACGCGCAATCTCAAAACTGGAGATACTAGACAAAGTTCTTACAGTACAATAATATAGTCTTTTTGACGTGGCAGTTACGAATTTGAAGCTTATTTCTACTTTGCTCCTAGAGGGCGCTAATTGTACCTTATTATTTAAATAAATCGAGTCATATACCATGTGAAAGAATATTCAATGTTTCATAGAAAAGGCACTTTTTCTTGGGCCGTCTAACTATGTCGGTTTTTGACTGATTTGGATTTAAAAAGTGCAAGTTCATTTTTCTGATTTCTTTTATAAATATTTAAAAGATGAAAAGATGGAAAGATACGAGGATCGATAAAAACCAATATTTAACAATAACAATTTTCGTAATAGTAATGAAAAAAATTAAATCGAATGTGCACCATCTGAGTGCACCACACAACACACTCCCTTAAATATTTTTGAATGTTAAAAATATTGAAATTTGGAGAGCTTAACTCACTACCTAACCTTGTTTTCGACAGTTTCCAGGTATTCTTTATGAGTCACCCTGTAGGAGCAACAAATAAAATTGGCGTAACAGCAACTGCTAAGTTTGGCATGGCTGAAAGCCCCACTAAACAATATAGAAGCAACAGCAACAGCTAAGGTTGGTTGACATTATTACATACTGATGCCTATGAACGTATTTTCTGAGGTGTTAAATGGCTTCCGCCCAATATTTAACAGTGCCAGATAGTACAATTTGTTGGTGTTGTGAACCGATAGGCAGCAGGTCAATCATTCAGAGCTACGCCATGCTGAATTTAGCTAGTTATTTCCGGAGCGTGGAGGACAGTTGCTCCTTTGCTGTTACGACTCTATCGGTTTGAATGGCTTAAATGGTCCTCCAACATTAACAAGTAGAAATGTTCCAGGTATGTAAGCGATCTGAACCACTCGATAAGATACGTCATTTTGCTGGAATACCTTTTGAATTCACTGAACGTAGCTGCCGTCTCATATCAGGTCATTTCGGTGGGTAGATTCGAAATGTTTCCGCTGTTATTGAAAATTAATTCAAAAGTCGTTTTAATTTAAGGACAAGCTAGCATTCTCGGCGCTGTTTTATTTCATCTACTTGTTTGTCCAAACGTTCGTTTTGGGATGGAGTGCGAACGAAGTAAAAGTGCAGGTAAATCGCAGTCGGCAGTTCATACACCAACAACAACCATAAACTAAAAATTTTAACAGAGCGAAGCGCTTAGCGATGCCTTGTACGAGAGTCTGTGGTACGAACAAAACGGGAGAGTGCGAAGAATGATTCTCTATATGATAGTTCGATCCCAGAAACCTCTAATTTTGACTATTGGACCGTTTGATACGATGACCACAACGTCTGCGGTCAGGGTAAGTCAAAACTTTCATATCGCTGCCGATCCTGACATATATATGTCATTTTGCAGATCATGAAAGCTTCGTACTCCTACATTTCACTTATGGTTAACTAAAATCAACCACCTAAATGGCTAAGAAAATGTATCATTCTAAACTTCTTAATATCTGATAACTAAATTGCAAATCTGTAGTCTAGTCTGACATCTCGCTAAAATCGTCTTTCTGGTACCACTTTATAAATGATGTAACAATGTATCGTTATACTAATAAAAAAAGGAATTTTAAGCAATTGTACATTAACAAAAGTGAGAAAAATATTTCCAACGACAAACCACCACTTGCCGGCAGGTTCAAGCGAATGTCGATACTGCAAGATGACGCTTTCGGACGGTTAAGAAAGTTATAAGGTAAACAATGTAAACATTGTAATTTACTTGGTCTTTCATGAGGCGCTATTTAATGTATTTCTTACTGAACATTTTTAAATCGACGTTGAATGTTTAAAGAGCGAGAGGGGCTATTAGCTAGTAAGACAAAAATTGCAGGTTGCGTTACAGGGTAATACGCGTTATAACACTTAATTATTTCCAAAAGGAAGCCATGCAGGTGCGTTGATAGTTTATAGGGGACGGCGTTATGCTATTAAAAAGGAGAATTGAAGAAAATTTATATTCAAAAAATTACTAAATATTGAGAACTGCGATTTGCAGATATGCCAACAAACTGAACCACTCGATTTTACTGGAGAATCTTTTAACGTAGGCGCAGTCTCACTTCAGCGCATTTCGATGAGTATTATCAAAATGTTACGTCTGCTAAACTAGTTGAAAGATTCTCTCCGATCTTCTACTACATCTATTTCTATCGAAACATTCGTTTTGAAGGGGAGTGCCAATGAAGCAACAGTCAATGGAAGTCGTATAGTCAACGTACCCAAAGCAACTTTGACTTTGAAAACTGTGACTAATAGAGCGATGATACTTCGATCCCAGAAGCCTCTGGACTTGACCATCGAACCGTTTGAGACTATCGCCTCGTTTTAAACTTCGCTTTGGTATTTAATAAGCAGAATTTTTGGTAAATTGCAAACATGTGGATATGTGCCACTGGATTCACGGGTGCTTGAGAAGTCCGCTTCTCTTGCTTTTTGTCAACTTCCGAAAATGTAAAATGTTAATCTGTTTCGACACCTTCACGTGTACACACTGCAGCGTGTTTCCTATTCTGACGATCACACGCAAATGTCTTATTTATGAAGGGGCGTGAAAAAAAAAAACGCAAGGTCGCTATTGTTTGAATAATTATAGGGAAAGTATATGCCGGAATATACACATGCCCTCAAATCTTCTCTGTAATGATGGCTTATTGTGATAAGGGTTTGGATTTTTTAGACATGCTTTAATGTTAGAGTCCTCAGTTTGAAGCAAACTGTTCGGGTTGCAATTCGGCGTAACAAAAATACATTTTTTTATTTTTAGTTACTTTCTGAACGGTAATTTATTATTCCAGCATCCGTAAGGTAAGTCCAAGTTCTTAGCATCAATAAAATGTATCTAATCTTTTAGAATGAATGATAATTCAGTATAATGATAGCTAAAAATTGCTACCTTTATTCGTGCCCAAGATTAAAATTTATTTATATTTTGCAGAATGTTGCCTAAATTTGTGAAAATTTAAAAACAATAAAGAGAGATATATATACGCAGCAGATAACATATGAACTTCACTCAATAAAAAAAAACTTAAAAATATACAGTGTACACCTTTGTTTATGGTTCGATTTTAATATATTTATTTGTTGGATAGATATCTCAAAAACTATACCAATTTTTATAACGTTTCAATGCTGGATGTTTGAAATATCGTTTCCGCCTCACTGAAGGCTGTACATCGTTGTAAAATCTTTCATTACTATTTGATTTTGATGTTTCTTACTACATCAACCTGAAGTCATGGCTCACTGGGACTAATTTTTGATGTCAAATAGCGAAAAGGGCTATTACGGATTTCTTTAAGAATACAGTGTCAACGAATTCTTATTCACGAGTATCTAAAAGCGAACTATACTAATTTCCATGAAGTTCAAATATAGGGTGCTCGAAATATCGTTGAAAGACCCTAAGGATTTTCTTAAAATTAAATGACATTAGAGGGGATCAGATATAAACTAAACGGACTTTACAACGCTGTATTTTTTTTAATTTGGGTGGATTTTTAATTCTCATCTAATAATGAAAATAACAGAAATATCAAAATCGATTGACGTCGGCATACTGCTTACTTTGTAAAACCAAGCGTGCCATGGAGAAGAAGCCGATATTCGACAGTCAAATTCAGTTCCTAATTTATATTTTAATTTTGTTTATATTTTTCGAATACTAAGATTGATTAATACTGTTGCTTTAAGATGATACTAAAAAATATATGATTTGTATAATTAAAATTTTTAAGATCTTAAAATCACATACTAAATAAGCTCTATTTACAAGGTTTTTTTTAAATCATCGAAAACTTTAATCATTGGTCTAGTTAGTTTTAGGTAATCCTTAATACGAATCTGTTGTCATGTTCAATTTGAAAAAAAATATTTAAAAGTACTTCTCGATTTTCTGCTTCAGAAAACTGTATCAATTAGCTATGACGTTAGTCGATGCTATACGAAAAAACCGATTGTTTTCTCTTTAGTAAGATCTCTCCAGCAATAAAGAATCATCAAAATTGAGCCATAAATGCTTTAGCGAAGTTCATGGAAGTTAGGTTTTATGTAGTCCTGAATAAGAATTCGTTGATACTTCATTCTTAAAGAAATCCCTAAAAGCCCTTCTCGATATTCGACTTCAAAAATTAGTCCCAGCCATGCCTTCAGGTTGATGTAATAAGAAACTTTAGGTTTTGGTGCGTTTTTGAGAGATCTACCCAACAAAAAGAAAGTTATCAAAATCAAAGCGTAATCGAAGTTTTTCCAACGACGTACAACGTTAAGCGGGACTTAAACGACATTATAGAAATTCGAATAGTTGTATTCTAAGTACTCCCTAATAGTACTTCTCACTGCTCTCTCTTTTGTTAAATAGTCCCAGTTGGCCATGACTTTAAGTTGAAGCAATAAGCAAACTAATGTTTTAGTGCATTTTTCAGAGATCTATCCCACAAAACAATTATCAGAATCGATCTATAAACAAAGATTTCACAAGGGTGCACAGTTTTTCAGTGGGACACACCGTATATAATATTACTTAAACTTTTACCTATACTTAAATGATTCGACGTAAATGTCAATTGACTCATTCACCACATAACCATTGTAATGAAAGTTACTTGTATCAGTCTAGATTTTATAGTATTTATAACATAAAGAGGTCAATGCAGAGGTCACTAGGATATTACTACCTACCTAAACGTTATGTAGAGCATCATCACGTACTACTAGAAGCTGAAATAAGGACGTCAATTAATGTTATTCTTTTATTACTTTTTGTCAGTATAGTTAAAATTAGTTCTTCTACTTAGTCTTGATTGCTTACGAACTTGTTTCGTTTAAATTATAATGTTAATACAAACATTAAGGTCTGCTATTGCACGATGAAGGTAGTCCATCGATCCATCTTAAATTTTTCGAAATACTGTATGATCTCCGTCGGAATATGGCGATTACCGTTACCTACCAATATCAACGTCATCCGCAAAACTTACGCAATATACTCCATCTTCGTCACGATCTACATCCCGCTGTTCCTGACGTCGATGTGTATCCATTTCATCCTCGCCCTGGTGTCTCAGAACGAAACCCTTGAAGATCTCATGAAAGAGTTTTCCTACATTATCATTACCCTAATGACAGAGACGGCCGCCGTTATCTGTCAAAGAAACAACTTTAAAGGAATCATAGCCTACGTACTGAATGAGGAAAACAACATTTTAAATTCCGGAGAAGACGAAACGTTGCACCACCACACGCAGCAGCAGAAATTCTGTTACAACGTCAATTTGACAATATTCGTGTTCCCGATTTGTACAGCAGCCTCCATAGTTATTGAAAACGCTAGTGTCAGGTCCCAAATAGGACAGTACAACAGGGAACACAACGACACTTTGGACAGACCTTTCCCGTTCGAGTTGTACCTCTACAAGTTTGACAAGAACAAGCACCAAGCGGCGATGTTGTTGGTGGAATATGTTTCGCATTGGATGATCATTTTCAGGATAATATCTACGAAAAACATCGTCGTCTCTTGCGTTATCTTTACGCCGTCCATCTTGAAACGGTTGCAGGTCAGGTTTAAGCGAATGTCGATGGAAGAAGGAGGCACTTTTGAAAGTTTAAAGGATCTGATTTCGCAACATCAGAACGTTATAAGGTAGAAGCTCAGATCAATACTATAGAATATACTATCAATAGCGTCAAGTAGTTTTACGGAGTGCTAATAGTTTTGGTGTTCTGTGTTCAGTTAGGTTGCCGATAGTTGGTTTTTTAATACAAAAAATTACAAATGTTCCAGGTATGTGAGCGACCTGAACCACTCGATAAAATACGTGATTTTCATGGAATACCTTTTGAATTCGCTGAACGTAGCGGCTGTCTCAGTTCAGTTCATTTCGGTGGGTATACTAGAAATGTATTACGCAAAAACAATTAAAAGCTTTAATTCAAGGACAAGTTCGCAATATCACCACTGTTTTACTTCGCCTACCTGTTTATTCAAACGTTCGTTTTGGGATGGAGCGCGAACGAAGTAAAGGTCCAGGTAAGTCGTAGTGATATCTCACCCGCCAACATATTTTAAGTAACTTTATTAGAGTGAAGCGCTTGGCGATGCATTGTATGAGAGTCTGTGGTACGAACAAAACGATAGAGTGAAAAGAATGATACTCTACATGATAGTTCGATCCCAGAAGCCTCTGGCTTTGACCATCGGGCCATTTGACGCTATGACCACAGCGTCTGCAGTCAGGGTGAGTTACAACATCCACATCGCCGTCAAACCTGACACATTTATGTCCTTTTGCAGATCATGAAAGCTTCGTACTCCTACGTTTCACTGATGGTGAACTGATGGACCGATCAATCACCAAAAAGGCTAAGAAACACAAAATATTTAAATCTCTGTATTGTCAATTATCAAAATAAAGAATACCCCACACAATAATGGAAAATGAGTCACGATCAATCTGCCTGATAATTTAGCTAGGTTGTAATTTTCTGGACCCAAAGGAACCCTGTGACTATAGTCTGGGCTATACAGTTTGCCTTTGTCCTATATAGATGGTGTGATGTAATATTACAAAGTAAGAAAATACAAATTTTTTTGTACACAATTTTTGTCCTAGTCTTGGTTTTCAATATATAGGGAATTAAATTTAAAAATATATAATTTATTCCGTAGTATACAAACAATAGTAAAGAAGCAAAAAATGTATTTTAATTCAATCCTATTATGATGAATTTAAAAAATAATAATTTTTCTTTGTATAACTACGACGCTGGTTATCTGGTATTATTTTTTAATGATACTAAGAGTTCGACTTTTTGAAAAAACGTGATAAAAAAATATTTTCCTTCGCCAGAAGTTACAGTTACGCTTTGTATCACTCACATTTCACCATGTATATATTAATGAAGCCAAACTTTCATGCTTCACCCCTGTGTATCACAGGCACTAAAATTTCTATTAGTTTCGGCGTCACTTTAAACTTGAATTTCTTCTAGTTTTGTCCAAAAAGAGTGATTACAAAAACAAAATTATTTTTCACTCCACTTCTATTTTTTGTAAATAAAAAAACATTTTGCCAATTTGGAAAACTGCGCTTGATAGTCTTATGGAATTAGTAATTCTTACGAAATTCATTTGATAAAAGCTATATAAATATCAGTAGCACATTTAAGATGTAGTTTGACAATGACAAATATAAAACATTCATCTTCTTTGACATGTCCACTGCAACGTGTCTCCTACTCTCCTGATCCCACACAAATGTCTTATTTATGAAGGGGCGTGGAAGAGAAACGCAAGGCCCCTATTTTCTGGATAATTACAGGGAAAGTGCATGCCGCCATACACATATACTTGAACTGAGGTGGCTTTTACTTGATGAAAATCCATTTATCAAAATAAATAAGAACCAAAAGTTCAGATTTTCATGAAATTATATATTATGACATGACAATTGTTTCGACAACTACAAACAACCACTACTATATATACCGAAAAATGACCATAAAACCTTAATTAATGTTGTTGCGAGAATTTAAGTTCAGTAAAGGAGAGGTATTTAAATCTAATTGATCGTTAAGCAATACATGGCTTCCAATAAATAAAATTAAAATTATTGATTGGCATCAAAATCTAGTATATAGTAAAATTGCAATTGTTCCCAATCTTTATATACAAAATAATGCCAATATTTTAGAAAATGATGACAAATAAAAAGAAAATAAATAATTAAATAAGCTCTGATAGTATTAGTGCCAAAATAATATCCGAAATAGAGCAGTGGAATAGAGTAATAGAATTTTACAGGGCGCGTCACAAAATACATTTTATTTTATTTATGAATTTTTTTTGTCATATAAAAATCTCTCCAAATTTAAATTGTTAGAATCAAACTTTATAATTTAGCATTTTCATGGCAAATTAATATCAATAAGAACTAATATTTGATTTCACTACAAAGACTATTATGAATATGAAAATTGCCCAGCCTGCTGTTTTGACCTTGACGGTATTGAACAACCAACATGGCCGTTGACATATTGTCAATAAGTTTAGATGCGCCAATTTTGCGGCAGTAAGACAAAACAAAGGTCAATTTTATCCACTTAAATGAATAAATCCAGCAATGTTTAAGACCCTCATAACTTTTAATTAACACCGCGTTCTCTGTGTAGTATAATAAAAAAAAACTAAAAAGAACAAAAGTGCTGACTATCCAACATTTTTATTCATAGTTAAACAATGAGGGTAGTCAATCGACCTATCCTCAATTTTTCAAAGAACTCTATGCTGTTCGTTGGAATATGGCCACTAAAATTACCTACCGAAATCCTCCACAAAGCGTACGCGGTCTACTCCAACTTTGTCAAAATGTACATCCCGCTGTTGGTGACATCAGCCTGCATCAGCTAACCAAAGATTTTTCCCACATGGTCATCACCCTGATAACTGAGATCGCCGCCATCCTCTGCCAAAAAAACAACTTCAAACGAATCATATCCTACGTAGTGGACGAGCTATTGCTATTGGTATTGGTATTAAAGGGGGGCGCCCTCGCTGGCGTCCAAGCACTTAGGCCACCAGATGGGCCCTTTGTGTCCGCAGGCCGCTCTAGAGGGCGTCCAGAATGCCGCCCCTCCTATAGAAGGTCAGCAACTCCTTTCCGAAGACTCCCAATCTTGCCCATGTCAAGGCAGGGCATTCTAGTGACGAGGAAAAGGACATTTTAATTTCCGGAGAAGACGAAACATTGAGCGACTACAAGCGCCACCTGAAGTTCTGTAAAGTGGTCAATTTGACTACCTTTATTTTCGCCATTTGAACGGCCGTTTCCATAAATTTGGATAATGCCATAATTAGGCACCAAGTAGACCAGTACAACAGAGAACATGATGTCACATTGGAGAAACATTTCCCGTTCAATTTCTATCTTTACAAGTTCGATAAGAACAACCACCAAGCGGCGATGCTGTTGCTGGAATACGTTTCGCACTTGATCATCATTTTGAGAATAATATCCACGAAAAATATCGTCGTCTCTTGCATCATCATCACTCCGTCGAATGTCGATACAGGAAGAGGGCGCTTTCGAGCGAAAATTATAAAGTACAATAAATATTACAATAAAAAAGGTGCGTTACTATTAGCTAACATTAGAAGAGTTGTAGATTTCTTTACCAATTTTGGTATCTAAGAAATTTTCTAAAGGTCATTCATCAATTGCCCATCAATTTTCACAATTTATATTACAAGTTATTTCTGTTTTTTCTATATACACAATCATTCACCTCAGCACCTGCTCCAGATACTACAGTACATGCTCTGTTTCTGTTTCAAGTAAATCTAATGCAATCTGAACCGTACTAACCAAAACCAGATGAACACAAATCTGTTGCAGATATGTCATATTCGGTTCAGTTCACTCCGGTAAATATTTTCGAAATGTTTCACTTGTCATACAAGATTAATTTAATAATGGTCCTAGTTCAAGGATGAGGTGGCACTCACTCCGATCTTTTACTTTATCTATCTCTTTGTCGAAACGTTTGTTTTGGGATGGAGTGCGAACGAAGTAAAAATCCAGGTAAGTCATACAGTCAAGGTGCCCAAAACAAAAATCTTTATTTATTATTACTTATTATTTGTTACTTTATTTTACTTATCATTTATTATTTTATGTATTTATTTATTTATTTTTATTATTATTTTATTTTATTTATTATTTTCAGGTAGTAATAGATTAATCAATTAGATTCCGAACTTTTTATAAGCTCTTTGATGTTCCTCCAATATAAATTTTGGGACAAGTTTTATTGTTTTTTAAAAAAATTAAAAAGGTTTTTTCAGTTATAAAAGCAATCTTACGACGAAATTTAGACACATGCTAGGTTCTCCGATGTGCGTAATTTTTTATTGTTAATTGCATTTAATATGGGAGAGATAGAGTTCGAAGTTATTTGAAACTTTTTTTAGCTACAATCTTATCAAAGAGGGATCGCCATTAAATGCAATTTGTTTTATAATATTTAATTCTTCTTAAAACAAAAGGCATTTAACAATGGTTGCGAACCCTCTTTGATAGATAAGATTATAAATATCTATCTATCTATCCCATATTAAATACCGAACTTATTTTTAAATTTTATATATACGACCATAAAATACATATTCGAACCTAGCAAGAAAATTTCGAAACGTCTATCTAAATTTGGTCTTAATATTGCTTTTACAACTGAAAACAGAATTGGAAAATTTAAAAAAAAAAAGCGAAAAACTCAAAAGTCCGGAGTCTACAAGTTAAAATGTAGATCGTGTCTCGAAATTTGTATCGGACAAACAAGTAGAACTTTCAAAAAAACGCCCTAACGATCCCATAAGAGCGTATAAAAATAAAAGTTCGGGTTCTAGCTATGCCATTCATTTAAATTCGGAAAAATTTCACGATAATTTTGATATTTTATATAACGAAGCAAGAGATATTTAATGACCAATTGGATTTAAATGCGTCTTCGATTGAAACAGCTGTCATAAAGTAATAAATAAAAATCAAAATTCGGACATTTTTGTTCTAATTTAATTGTGTAATTTTTTTTAATCAATTTTGGCAGTGCGAATCGCTTAGCGATGCGTATGAGAGTCTGTGGGACGAACAAAGTGATGGAGTGAAGAGAATGATACTCTACATGATACTTCGATCTCAGAAGCCTCTGGTGTTGACCATCGGACCGTGACCATAACATCTGCCGTGAGGGTGAGTCAAATCATCCACATCAAAATCAAATCTGATATATTTACGTCGTTTTTGCAGATCATGAAGGCTTCGTATCCCTACGTTTCATTGATGATGAATTAACCTACATTTCACTACACTTCACTATTGAAACAAGTTATTTTAAACATTGTTATTGTAAATACAATATATAACTCTTTTTATTACTTTCATTTTCTTCAAACGAAAACTTTTCGTCAATGTATTAATAAAAACCCCCTCCAACTTATTTTAATAGTATAGAAAGTATGAACTACGTGGTATAACATGGAAAAATCAACATTTAATAACCACAACAAATCATTCCACATGGAAGGTCTTGTTTGCCTTTTAAAAAATCTGCAAAATTAAACTTCCAAAGTATTTCACCCATTTACTTTCACGCATCCACGAATAACGAATGTTTCCTACTCTCCTGTTCCCACGTAAACGTCTTATTTACAGGAGGCGTAATCCTAGACCAGTCTTTAATTTCCATAATTATATGGAAGGTAGGGGTACGTCGGATACACTAACATATGGTCTGAAATCTTCCCTGTAATATTGGCTGTTTGTGGGAGGTATTTTGCTTTTTATAGATCCGTTTTGGTGTCGGAGCGTCCAGTTTTAAGTGAGCTCTATAGGCTGTGTTGTCTAGCCAGCTCCTATAGTTTTGTCGGCCAACGGTTGGCTAAATGTAAGTATATTTCGATTTACAAACTAGCAATTTTACAAAATAATATAACTAAAAGATTAGAATAAAACAGAATTCTTTAGAATAACAAGGCATAAAAGGGTAATCGACCACCCGTATTTGTTATAGCAGGAAACAATGACAGCGCAAAAGCTACAGATCCTAAATTTTTCCAAGTACTGCATGATTTTCGGGGGATTATGGAGACTAAATTTCCCCAGCCGAAACAAATTCCTCCTTAAGCTGTACGGTATCTACTCTTGTTTCGCTCAAATTTACATTCCCTTACATCTGGCGTCGATGTGTCTGCACTTCTTCTTCGCGTTACGAGACCGGACCCAAACCACCGAACACCACGTGAAAGAATTCGCGCTTATCCTCACTCCTTTGATCACCGAGATTGCCGCCATATTTTGTCAAAGTCACAACTTTAAAAGCATCATATCTAATATCATGGACGAAGAGGAGAATGTTTTGATGTCTGAACAAGACGAAACTTTGTACCATCACAGGCGGCAGTTAAAATTCTGTAGAACCGTCAACATGGCGATCTTCTTTTTTCCTGTGTGTACAGCCCTATCTATGACTCTGGAAAACACCAGAACCAGATTCAAAATTGACCGGTATAACAGGGAACATAATGCCACGTTAGAAAAACCGTTCCCGTTCGAGTGGTATCTCTACAAGTTCAACAAATACAACCACCAAGTCGTGATGCTGCTGGCGCAACATTTTACTCACATGCTCATAGTGTTGCGCATAGTATCGACGAAAAACATCGTGGTCTCTTGCATCATTTTTACGCCGTCCGTCTTGAAACGGTTACAGTCCAGGTTTAGGCAAATGTCGAGGCAGGAAGGAGACACCTTGGAACATGTAAGGGATCTCATTTCTCAACATCAGAAAGTTATACGGTAAGTAAGGTAATAGTCGCTAAAATAAACCCTGTAAAAGTTAGCAATTTTGTTAATGTAGAAGTTGATAGTATTTAAACAAATTTTGTTTAAACTTTTGAATAGATTTTTAAGTAGCTGCTGTTGGTGTGCGGTTGTCAATTCTTTTTTTTTGCGGATAATATTTACCAAAAGTATTTATCGGATCAAGGTAAAAATGATATATTTTATTTCGTAACAAGCTAAGTAATGCAATAGTCCATAAAATAAAGCTTATAGAAGTGACCAACCATTTTTAATCTTTGGGCTTGGTAGAATTCAAACAAAGGCCGATTACAGTTGCGAAAAGATTTTTTGATATTACAAAATCGGATAGTTATAAGGTAAATAAGGTAAGAATCCCTAAAATAAGAAACCCTATAGAAGTCAGTAATTTTTTTAATGATGCTGTTAAAAAAAAAAATAAGAAAAAATTTCTGAATTCCTTCTGGGTCGGTTGTTGTTGAGTCGAACTTGCTAACGTTTCCCCAATCATCCCGTTGGCTTCTTTGGAGCTTGACTGAAACTGGCTGAAGAAGCGAACAGGCCGATTGGCGAAATGTCAGCAAGTTCCATTCAACAACAGCAGAAGGAATCCAGAAGTTCTGTAAATAGTATTACAGTAGTTTATTTGGAAAATTAATTTCCATTAGTGTTTCGAAAATGTTTAGATTTTATTTTGCAAAATCATGAACTTATAAAGGTAATCCATCAATAGACAATAAGCCATGTAGAAGCAACCTTTTCTTAAATTTAACTACTATTCTTGTGAAGTTTCCAATTTTGTTATTTTTTACTAATAATATTTCCAATTTCATAACATCAAAAAATTATAATGTAAGTCACCTAATCACTGCAAAAGGAAACCGTATAGAAGTGGCTAAGATTACAGTGCAGTTGTGGAGCTAGTCATCCGAGCGTTCTAATGCATTTCTTTGTCAATTATTCACGTCGTTTGTTCAACATTTCTACAACTGTTTTAGGTATGTTGGTCAACTCAACGACTCAATAAGGTTCGTGATTTTGATGGAATACCTATTGAATTCGCTGAATTTCGCCGCTGTCTTGGTTCAGTTTATTTCGGTAGGTATATGGGAAATGTTTGCTCTGCGGATATTCCAAAAGCTGTTAAAGTTTAGGCACGAGTTGGAGTACTCTCCTCTGTTCTACTTCTTCTATTTGTTTGTTCAAACTTTCTTTCTGGGATGGAGTGCCAACGAAGTAAAAGTTCAGGTGAGCCGCAGACACAACACTTAAACAACAACCTTTTAGTAACTTTAACAGAGTGAAGCCCTTAGCGACGCCTTGTATGAGAGTTTGTGGTACGAACAAAACGGCAGAGTAAAAAGAATGATACTTTACATGATACTTCGGTCCCAGAAGCCCTTGGTCCTGACCATCGGACCTTTTGACACGATGACTACAGCGTCTGCGGTCAGGGTGAGTCTCAAAACATTCATAGAAACTTCAAACATCACATATGTATGTTGTTTTGCAGATTATGAAAGCTTCGTACTCCTACGTTTCGCTGATGGTGAATTAATCTTAGAGAACCATTACCAAAAAAGCTGGTCTCTACCAATGGATTTTCTGATATTTGTCAAGGCACTTTAGAATCATTATTATATTTCATTTAATAACAGTAGAGACAAATTATTTTTCTCAATGATCTAAATTTGAATTTGTCTAGACATAAATAAAAGGCCCATTCCATATGCAGAAAAGCAACCCCAAACCATAACGCTTTACAGTACCAGAAACGTACTTGGGATCTAGCATTTTCTTATCAGGTCGACACTACCGAAATTTCTATTCATCATTAAATAATACCCTTCCAATTGTTGGCCTTCCAATTTAAATAGCGAGTAGCAAACAGGTCAGCATCACGAATTTTTTTCGAAAGGAACTGTTTTCTTGCCGTTCTTCTTCCAGGAAGTCCGGCTTCCACCAAATGATGTCGGATGGCTCCCGAAGACACATTTTCTGTGCCCAATTCTGCTAAAATCTGACTTGCAGATAAACGTGGACAGCTTTGGCTAATTCTCCAAATTTAATGTTCTGCCGAAACATAAATTTAATTTAAAAAAGAGGGCGACATGTTTCGCGCAGACCAATTTAAAATTAAAACACGGAGAACTAGATTTCGTGTATTTCTTGTATTAGCTATATTTAACCTCATTGCCTAAGAGAATGGATGAATTTTTCAATTTATTTAATATATGGCAACAGATTTTTTTATGTAAATGTAAAAAAATGGAAATAGGATACAATAAGCATTATTTTTCACCACCCAGGTCTAATGTGTAAACTGTGCAACGCAGAAGTCAGCAGCATTCGTGCGTATTTACTTTCCTCTCTTCATGCATACAATTCCTAGCGTCGATAGGCAAAGAGAAAAACCTGAAGGACCTGTTTCAAGAGCTCTCCTTCATTATAATATTTTCGATAGCGGAAGTTGGCGCTGTACTTTGCCAGACGGACGACTTTAAGCAGATTATGTCTTCTATAATTGAGGCGTCACGCTACCATGCGGTACAGATAAACTTTTGCGACGCCGTCAACTTGATGATTGTCGTCTTTGTGTTCGGCATCATGTCCAATAACCTCTACTTTATTTCGTAAACTGTCAATTTTAGTTTGTTTGTAAGTACACCGGATAGCGGAAACCACCTATATTTATTTTGTTTATTTTATTTTATATTATTTTATTTGGATAAATGTTTCGACAGCTTTCGGGTGTTCGTCGCCGGTGCCGAGGCCATTTGGACAAATGGGGAAGACCACAAATGATCGGAGATGGTAGCATATGAACGAAAATTCCGAACCGCGTTTGATTTCGGGCGGGGGGTGGTTTGTAACAGCCGATCCGCCATCAGCTGATTCATGACATATTCGTGACCGAATGATTAGGTTAGCACCAGCGATTTTTATAGGGATATCAAGTTTGAAACTTATTTAAAATGATTTATCATACTAAGTTAATATTTTATTACTTTTCTTAAACAGAAATTCAGTTAATTGTGGGTAGTAAATTCATAGGGTAATGCAGATCAGGAACAGAATCCCTTAACAAATAGTTTTTCACGAGAAGGTGTAACGGAACGAAGTAAAATTGATTTTAATATTTTATAGAAGCTCACAAAAAAGGTATTTTGCATTATGCAATAAACAAGTAGTCGTCGGATAGGGTAGGCCCGCCTAACATAGCGCGCGCCTGAAACGGATCATCGCACATAAACTATACGATCTAAAGTCGGCCGAGTTAGGCTATAGGAACAGCGCGTCGGCGTGGCTTACCCGAAGATTCGAGGTTCGAATCCCGACCGCGACATCAATCACTTTTTTCGGCTCTCAAAAATACTTCACATTTATTTCTCGCCCCGCACCCCCAACGTAGTGCAGTGCCACTATGAAATTTCTTTTTTCTACGAACCCTTTTTTTTTGCCAAAAAGGCACTAACGCAAGAACTACAATAAATTTTATATCGAAAATGAAGAAAAGCAACTAAAGCAAAGTAAAACAAATGCGATCCAAAAGGAAATGCCAAATCAAACCGACGAAATAATTCTGTTCCACTCACATCGAAGGGGATTGAAATTTGGCAGGCAGGTAGATCGCGTCGAGGCGATCATTATTTGTCCTATAAATTTTTGCATGCAAAATGTTGTTACACATTACCCTAAAAGTGACTTTTAGAAAATGTTTTAAAATGCCCAGGTAAATCGCGTCGAGACGATCATTTTTTGTCCAATAAACTTTTCTCTAACTCTTAAGGGAAAGGCAGAGAGGGCGAAGAAAATTGGAACATTAAAAGTGGTCGTACGGGGTTCAAACTTCGTACCACGTTAGAGAAAAAAATTATTCTTCAAAAATATTATATTCTCGTGTATTTAATTTGATTTTAGCCAAGTACAATTACTATTTAACTTGCCTACTTCTAAAATTTAAAAATTGTTAACTAAATTAAAATTACGTCGGATTGTAATTCTACTGAAAGTTAAAAACCAAATTAATTAACAGATCTTATACATGTTCTAGATTTGTATTTGTTTTCAGTAAAGAACAATTACTACGTAGCTTGCTTCAATATAAAGTTAATAAATTGGTGCAAACAGCAATTCTGGGGCATTCGCCAAGAATTCAAAAAATCTGTGGAAATCAGCAATTAAAAGTGGTCGTAGGGGATTGAAATTTGAGGGGCAGGTAGATCGCGACGATAATTTTCTGTCCAATAGAATTTTCTCTTACTTGTAAGGGAAAAGCAAAAAATGGGTGAAGAATCGGAAAATTAAAATTTAAAAATAAAAAAATTATAATTACATCGATGCCTTCTCCCACTTCAATCGACTTTTTTCTTGTTACCTTTCGTTGCCTTTTTTGGTACTTTTTCCGTGGAACTATGTTTCTTAACATCGTTTTTCTTATTCCTTCTTCCAGTTTTTTCTGGCGAATGTATTTCCCTCTGTGTAAGTATCAATGTCTGTATTTCTGAATAAAATACTTTTATTACGATCTTTTTTTTTGTGTCATTTATATTTATTCAAATAGATCTGTAGTATAGGTAAAAAAATATAACATTTCTGAAGAACGGGTTCAATTTTAATGAAATAGTTCTGGCATTATCTAAAAAAACATTAACGTTCATAATTTTTCATGTAATAAAAATGCATATTTTGTTCATTTCAACGCATATATTGATAACATTTAAACGCGCATATATTTTGTTCTTTTGCTTGCTTTTTTTCCGCTCAAATTCTGAGTATTCTGACAAGCTTTTGATGTTTTTTCTTCAATATACCGTCGTAATTGTTAATGTAAATTAATGCTTTTCCTATCGGATACTTTCATTTGTATAACTGTTACCATAGAATTTACCTGACCGTCTAACGTCGAATAGTAAATAAAATGCAGGTTGCGGGACTCTCTTCGCGTGGAAGCCACATTAGAGCTCCTAAAAACACAAAAGGTAGTAAAATTTAATTACCCTCATGAAATCCAATTAACCGTCCGCGTTGCGGGACCGCGAAAGCGGTTCACTCTAATTACGAACAAAAAAAAAACGGACTCAATATAACATAATATTAATATTATGCCAATTTCTACGCTCTCATAACCCCGCGCGGCCATCATTTTCAAGATCTTTTTTGATCTCTCTCTCCCTCTCTCTCTCTCTTTTTCTCTTCACATCCGTCGGTCCTCCGCGCCCGTTTCAAATGGTTACATTTGCTATTGTGAAATAGCGGATCCCCCCGAATTAACAATTAACCTAACGTTTGCATCACGTGACCGCTAGAAAGGCACATGGCAGCGCGGATGCGGCGTTGTCGCTTCTTCCGAGTCTGTTCTTGGCGTTAAGTTCATTTATAATCCATCCATTTATTCTTTCAAGAGTCAATCTCGAACCATCTTTGATAGACCAACTTTGCACAAGATGCCAACTGACGGGCCTCATCTTTGCTTGTTCCTTTATGACATGACTTTTCCATCCTTTTCTATTTTTTTATTTTTTTCGTTGCAGCCTCCCGTATTTACGAGTCACATAGATGCCATTGATATTTGGACATCACAGACGCGCAAATAGAGGTGTCAAAAATAACCCAAACTTTCTTCATTAAACTTCCACGAAGACGAACATTTCTTACATTTTTAAAAAGATTATCCATTTTTAAACAAAATCTTTTGCTAATGATTCATAATTAAATGAAATTCATTCATGAAATTGTTATGGCTAAACCAAAACAATTATTCTACGTTTGAAAAAAAATGACCTCGTCTCGGAAGATTAATAGCCGATCCGGCAACAGCGCTTTAAAGACCGGCGCGTTGCATTCGATGTTATTACCTCGCAGTAATCCCGGAAAACGCGGAAGCGTCGCGGCGCCAGTAATACCCACTCAACAAACGTACGAAATATTGCAACGAATCGCCGATATCTAATAAAATACGGTGAGAGTGGCGGAGACCTTCCGAATTCATATGTAGCCAACGCAAACTTTCATCATGTAGGGATTTGGGTGGAAGGGGTGTATTAGGGTGCAGCTGCGCCGTTAGAGGGGTAGCGGGTGTAGTAACGGATAAGAGGAAGGCAGAAGCGTCTGCTGGGTGTGTTGAGTGACTTCGGGATCGCCGTTTGGATTAGAATTGGAACGATTGAGGTATAATTAGACATCTACATAATTTTTATGTGTGTGGTGAAACACCCAATACTTTTGATTAGTTTGGTTTCATTGATTGATAATGATTGTTCTCGATTTATCATTACCTTAACTATCTCAGCTCGCATCAATTTAAATAAAATAAACAAAAATACAATGCATACAAAGTTATGAATCAATCATTCCAGGTATTTTTCCGGTGGATTATTATTAAGCAGTCTAACCGGTGTATATAAGACGCAGCTTTTGGAAGTGATCTTCTTAATTTTCGATTATTCGCTAGTCATTTGTTTCGCTAAATATGAGGGGCATCCCGTTTTAAATAGTAACCAAAACTAACCAAAACGACCAAACCAAGTTAAAGATATTTTTGCTTCCATATAATCAGATGTTGGGGGAATGAATATAAGCCTCTAGAAGAACTTTGGAGAGGTGTCTAAGTCTAAATTTAATCTAAATTCTTTATCAAAGATTATACCCAAGTTAATGCAGATTCGGATTTAATTACGAGCGATGATTATTTGAATATTCAAAGCGCGATTCGAAGCATTTATGTAGTCCTTTTGCGGCTTCCACTGCGTTGATATCTGTGTGACCAGGACCAAAGCCGATGTTGCCAACTCATTTGGTGCTACGAGAATGTCAGCCAGAACTTTGAGCTAACCAGGAAGCGTAGTGTACCCGTAGCGAAATCCTGATTGTGGTTTCGGTAAACGGTTAGTGAAGTAGTCACAGAATTGCCTATGAATCAGTTTTTCAAATACATTAGAAAGAACTGGCATCAAACGAATAGGTTAAAGGTCTGGAACAATATTAGGCTTACTCATTTTTCATAACTTCTGCTACCTTCCACAGGGCAAAAAGTATACACTCTTCTATGCGTATATTAAAACGTTGAGGCGGTAAGGAGTAAAGTTCGTTATCGCCTTGCTTTCCAAAGTTGTGAGGAAATGTATACAGGGTGAACGAAAACAACAATTTTCACAGAAAAAGTAAATAATATTAAGGTTTCTGGTTCATATTCAAGTCAATGGATTTTCTGACTAGGGATGTTACGATACCATCAAAGTATCGATACCTACTCATTTCGATAATACTCAAATCTTTTTTCAATACTACTCAAATAAGTACTCCTAAAGCACTTAATTATTTTTTTTTGAAGGACAATAATTAAAACAAAATTAAGGAGGAAAAGAAAACTTTTATTATAAAGGTTTGCGTCACGTTAAGCACGTACTTTAAACAAAAAACTCCATGATAACATTGTAACAATAAGTCGATGATAAAAATAAATAAAATTATTCGTAAGCAATCTCTTGTATGTTTGATAATTTATGATGGTTGACAATGAAAAAAAATAAGGGCGGACGTCTTTCTCGCGTTTGGTTCGGGCTCAGTCGAGTGAAGTCGGACGAGTTCGGCTTGGCTGGCGCGAGACAACGTGTCACCACAGATCAGATAGAGATTATGTTTGTCTGATGCGTTCGGTTTTTTTTTTTAATGGTGAGGCTGATTCGATTTGATACCAAATACTTTTGTTTCGATACCGAGCAAGTATGGCAAGATTGATTCGATGCTATAAATACTTGGTATCGAATCAAAAGTATCGAGTACCTACTCGTATTTACTAGTATCGGAATATCCGTATTTCTGACTGTCCTTAGGAACAGAACGGCCATGTTGTTTCGCAGATCATTACAATGCAGTAAAATATGGTTATGGGCAAAAAATTACTTAATATTTCACTATTGGATCGACATTTTTTTTAAATGCGTGACATCGTAAGCGAGAGGCGCTTCGCAATGCTTTCGGGGAAAAAATTCAACATTTCGTGCGTTTAAAATTAAAAATATTTTATTTTGTCGTACTTGCTTTTTAATTTTTGTATTTAATTCTAAGTTGGGGCAGTCTAAAATAAAATATTTTCGGCCGATACCATGCAATTAACTTAAGAGAATGTAGTATCAACAAAGATTTTTGAAATTCACATTTTGGATGCATTAAATTAAATGTAAAACTTCAATACGATACCTGTGTCGATGCTTGTGCATAAACATTTAATTTTTTGTTTTATTTTTTTTTTCTTTGTATTGAGAATTTTGCCTTAACAAGTCTTAAAGTTCTTGTCGAGTTCTCTTGACTTCATTACATGCGCGATATTCACTCTGTTTAGTAAACAAAAAGGTTATTATGACAATTATGCGACTACACTGGTCGTAGCTACTGAGCCATTTCAAAATTAAATTTATATTTGGATGACATCGATTGCTATGCCTTAAATTCAATAAGTATCAATATTTTGACTTGCCGCGGATTTCACAGAAGTGGTTATCGGTTTCGATGGTTTTCAAGTATCGGAAGTGACACGGATACGCTTACCACATTTTCAATGGGATTAAAACCGGTCTGGTACGTATCACTACGAGTGGTACCTTACATATATTATGATCAAACCACCGGCTCAGGTACGAAACGTAATAGTCCAACTTGATACGGGATCGAGTGCGTGATAGAAAATGCCGGATATTTGTTACCGTTATGCATAAATAAATTCTAGCCGAACATTCAAATATTTATGTCGGATGAAAACTTCTATTTAAATTAACACAAATTTTGGCTGGTGCCCTGTTCGCATTTAAGAAAAGTTCAGTTTCCTTCGTTTTTTTGCTCATCATTTCTCAAATCGTCCATTGTTTGCTACTGGACGGTATATATTTTGTATCTTCACAAAAAAAATCTAATATCGATAAGTCGGGTGAGCCAGGTGGGGATCTTAAAAGTGGTATTAAGATGGGCACTTGAAATTCGCGCGTTGTGAGCAAATATAAAATATATACCGGGTTTTAAAAATTAAAACATATACATTCGCTTTATTTCCCGACAATAATTGAAAATAGAGAGAGAGAGAGAGAAAAAGAGCTATATATTTCGCTATTTGCTGTAGCTGTTACGTTATTGTTTTCAGTCACGCGGGATTGATGAATCGATTCTCGCCTATGGTCCCACCGTACGTAATTTAACTAATAATGGCACGTACCGAATCACAAGCTTCATTAAATGCGCATATACGGGTGAACTCGTAATTACCGATAACCATCTTTGCGGAATATAATGAGCGGTATTCCATTTAAATAAAAATTGACGTTACCGTTCTAGGGCAGGTCGGTTTAGAGGTTCACGATAAATAAGCGTCCCCTTATCGATTCCAACGAATAAATTTGAAAAATTTTTGATATTTAAGATTTCAAATACTCGCCGAAATTTGCAAAAACGCGAGTGTATATACAGGGAGTACCAAATTTTCAACATACCGGCTGTCTCAGTAAAGGCAAACAGTATTCACTCTAGGTACCGTTAATATAAGGGAGTTATGCAGAAAACGAGTTTTACAATTCAATGTGCCAATCGCGTCCTCTTAGAAACTCAAATTTACTTATTTTTTTTTTTTAATTTTTAGGAACATCCGTTTTCCCTTACCTTACCGGATGTTTCAAAACTAACGGGTCATAGAATGTCGCAATATTTATTTAACTTTTTAACTTTTTCGTTTTTTGTTACTAACGTTCGCAATTCGCAACTTTAAAAATATAATTTCTGATAATACAGGGTCTGTTAATGGTAAAAGAGGTTATCTAATATCATTTTATCAGTTGAAACCCTTTGAGGGCCAATTAAGAGATAAAAATTAGAAGCCCAGAAAAAGGTCTAATCAAATTTTATGAATAGTTAACTTTAAGGCAGTTGTACATCTTGCACAATTTTTTTCATATCTACGTGGTGGATTTTTATGGTGTTTTTCAATAGGATAATGGCCTATTCCGTCAATACGGACAAAATTTTAGTCCATGTTTTTTTCCTTGGTGTTCGCTTGCAGGCTTTCCTCTTTTCCATTATTTTCTTTCGAAAATTTACAGAAAAAACATTGAAAATAACCCCAAAATACGCGAGCCCTGTCGAAAGCCGCAAATCAACAGGTGGAATGCAGAACACCAAAGCAAGATGCCTCATCGAACAAGCCAGAAAGGCATTTATAAGTATGAGAAGATTTTTCACAAGGTCCGCTACATTCAAATCAAATCAAACCAAAAAATAAGGAGACAAAAAGAAGCAACGTTTGCCGTCAAATCCCAAACTAAAAGCATGGACGGTTCGGTTGCTCCTAGTTTGACATTTTCCGCGTGGCTGTATTTAGAACTGCGTTAGCTATTTGGATCGCCAACATTTCAGTAAGGCAGAGCCTAAAATAGTACAACTCAGCTGGCACTGTTGTTACCACCAAGTCTTTTGCGTTTGCCGCAATGTTAAAGCCGTGTTAATAACTTTTATTTCGTAAAATTTTGATTTTGCCCCCCTTTGGCCAACTGTATTCTTGCCTGACTCACACAGAGATCGCGTGTTTGTCCAAATTTATAGTTTTATATCCTTTCTTGTTTACCCCGGAGATAAGATAAAAGACGTTGATAAAGTTACGAGCTGGTCTCAATTTTAAAACTCCTTGCTGAGACGCGAACGCGTGAAATGGCAGCATGGGTTTCCTCGATATCTTTGAGAAGGTAATTTTTACATTTACCGGAACTTTAGTCGACCAAGTTAATCGGAACTATAATTTAATATTTTGTTGCAGAAAGACAGTATCAAACATCCGCGAGACCGAAAAAAACTGAAAGAGAAACAAATTGCCTCCAATATTGACAGGTAGACAATTTTTTTTATTAACAATGTTGTATAGATTTTTTTTTAATAACTTCATAATTTTTGTGGGTTTAGGATGCCATTATTAGTCAATTGTCAACTGTGGGTAATTATATTTTTTTACGACGTATTTTCTATGTGTGGCGTTTCCAGATAAAAAGAAATACGCCTTAAATACTTTTTCTTCTACGTTATTTTCAATTTTTTAATTCACTTACAACATGCCTCAAGAAGGACGAGAAGGTATTTTAAGTTATTTGCTTTAACTCATTTCTGCGGCAAAAACTACGGTTTCCATTTAACTTTTCTTGATACCCTTCCGAGTTTCTGACTTAAAGATGTAGGGAACCTTATTAATTTACATATATATTACAATATCATTGTATCATGCCTTCTTTTGCAGCCAGCCGAGGCAATCGACAGGCAGTGCTCACGCCGAGATAAGAAAAAAGAGCACCAGAAAGCCCGTCACGCAACGGGACCCGGGAAACACCAGGAACGAGAATGTCACGCAAAGGAGTCGTCGAGGAAGCATAGGAATCGATGTATGAACTTCTTTATCACTCTTTTTTATTAAGAACGATTCATACCGACACTTAACAGTTTTCCAATATTTTAATTTTTCTAAAAAATACTAGTTTTCACGCTCACACGCATATTCGACTTTTAATTCGATGCTGCAGGATGGCTAAGACAAACGAATATATTTGGAACATTTTAATTAAAAAAATCGCGAGTTGTCAGGTAAAAATTTGACAATGTCGTTTTGTCACTGCCGGACTAATGCTATAGTAGTAATCTTAGGCAGAAAGAAGGGTAGAGTATATGGAAAAGGTCAAATAAATCGCAAATTATTAAAAATAAAAGATTTTTGTAAGATCTTTCAGAAAAAAAAACAGGGTGTTTTCTAATCGAATGTCAGTAAGTACGGAGACAAGCATTATTCTTACAACTTCCAATCATGTCTAAAGAAATTTAATTTTATGATTTATTTCAATCCGATGTACGGTAGTAACAAAAATGAAAACCTCTTCTCCCTGTTTCATTAAAATACTTTAACGTAAACTTCAATAAATTAAATAAATTTAATCGTTCATTCATCTTGTTGTTAGGATGTTACGTTATGTCATTAAAACCGTAAAAGTAAAGGAAGAGTCTGGTAATTTTTTTTTTCTGAAGGTAACCAAAAAGCACATGTCTTGTTAGATGCATAGTTTATGTTTCACAAAAAAAAGTTCTCGATTTAACCGGTTATTTGTTCATAAGAATAAAAAAAAAAACAAGAAATTAAATTTCTTTTGGGAATTGTAAAAATAGTTTTTATTTGAAGATAAATCAGTGGCGTACCATCAGTGTTTGCCAAAATAGACATGGGAAAATCCGTACTCCTACCAGTGGTGTATTTTAAAGTGGTACACTAAATAATGCCTCTTGATACATAGTACATGCGTGCCAAATTTCATTAAAATATCTATGTGTGCTATTACAAAAGTTAAGACGTTTTGGACATATGGTCACATGAAGTTTTCTTTTTAAAATGGATACGAAAATCGCACCCTTAATTATTGATATTTAACACCCTGTAATACCCTGTATATTGATCGCACCTTTCATTTTTTTTGTTTGGATTCCAGAGAAAACAACCTAAATTTTTGACACGTCAATCGTGGATCGATACCAAACCTTCACGGACTAGACCGAGCAGTGCCGTTTCGCTTCAAAGGTAATTTTTTATGGGCAACAAAATCCCATTTACCGGAAATCGCAGTTTCAATGCGCCTAATCTAGCAAATTTTCTGAATAAAATTTATCGCGAATTTAATATTTTCACAATGCATTGTATTTATGTTGGCCCGCGTATGCAGACATCGAAATAACACGTAATTAATACCCATCGATAGTAATTTTCGGAGAAAGTTTCGTTTTGTTTTGCCTGATTTGGTGTTTGGCGGTTCTATTAAAAGACTGAAAATGGCCGATAAAAGGACAATTTGCGCATAGTTGATATATATAGATATAGAAAATACCATACTAACTGATACTAATTTGTAGTATTTCTGATAATGTAGCATTTGCCCTGCTGCTGCTCTTGCAGGAACTGAAAATGTTCTTTTTTTATCCGCCTGGCAATTAAAAATGTGAGGAACTACAAGAGGTTTCATTGGTTTTTTACCACCCATTAGTTTAAACTTTACATGATTATCGATACCGTCCGCAATGTGAAACAAAAAAATCACTGCAAAAAAATTTTTGTTTCTCTCCTTCGTGTTTTCATGCATGAATTCATCTTATTTTATGCTCTAAACACCGAATCTGAGTTTTTTAATTTAAAGTATAAATTATTATAAGTAAATAAACAAATGTGGCGGCTTGAGTTTTACAGTAAAAAATCCTAAATTATATTAACAAAACTAATAAATATCGTCAGTTATTTCATTATGGAGTGATAGAATTCATAGATTCCATTGGAGTTTCTCGGTGAATTGACCAACAGAAATCGGCAAGCATTGCTGCTGACCATTTTCCATTGTAGCGTTTTTCAATTTGCATTACGTCCTGATGAAACCTTTCACCATGCTCATCTGATACAGCTCCAAGATTTTCAGGAAAGAAATCTAAATACGAGTCTAAAAAATGGATCTTGAGTGACATATTGCATCCTAAAGGTTTATAAGCAGAAAGTAGCTCCCGAATGATTTGTTGATAGTCGTCACTTTTTGCGTTCTCAAGAAAATTATGACACACCTCCACAAACGCTACCCAAACTCTTTTTTCTGCTTTGCTCAACTTGAGCTCACGTATCTGCGGACCTACAAAAGTTCCTTCCTTCAATTTCGCGTCACTGATTCGAGGAAATTTTGTTTTTGAGTATTGAAAACCTGCACCATCTTTATTCATACCTTTCGCAAATTTTTTTATGAGTCCCAACTTTATGTGAAGGGGTGGCAGAAAAATTTTCTCGCATGGCACTAACGGTTTATGAGAAAGATTTTTAAGTCCAGGAGTCAAACTTTTTCTTGATGGCCAGGTTTTTACTTTGTAATGTTTGTCTCTGGCGCGGCTATCCCACTCACAAAGAAAACAGCAAAATTTTGTATATCCTCCTTGTAGTCCAGTCAGTATAGCGACAACTTTTAAATCAGCACAAATATTCCATAGGTGTTGAGAATATTTAATTTTCTCAAGTAATACCTCAAGGTTTACATAATTTTCTTTCATGCTTGTAGCATGTGCAATGGGGTATGGGTATTTATTACCATTATGAAGTAGAACTGCTTTCAAGCTCATTTTTGAAGCATCAATAAAAAGTCTCCATTCACTAGAATCTTCTGGAAAACTTAGTTCTTGAAGAAGCCCTGTAGCATCATTACAATATACCAAATCATCTTCTTTGGAGAAGTAACTTGTAAAACTTTCTTGCCTCGTACGATTATATGAAACTCTGGTACTTTTAACCAATAGATTCCACTGTTTTAACCTTGATCCGAGTAACTGTGCCTTAGATTTTAAAAGTCCCAAGTCTCTAACAAGATCATTTAAGTCGCCTTGTTCAAGTAAATGAGGTTCTGTAGATGGACGTGAAGATGCAGATAGGACGTTCGGATAAACAATCTTATCTTTATTTTTTTTCGAGAATCCTCGTGTAGATGTCATGCAGAAACAACAATCATTCTCATGATTTTGAGGCTCACTCCAAATCATTGGCATTGAAAACGGCATGGATTTGTGACTTTCTTCAAGCCAACGTCTCAACGTTCTTGAGCAGCTATTGCAGCATACTTTTGGCAACCAGCTTTTATCTCGCTCATCGATAGAAAATCCAAAATATAGCTTATAAGCTGTTTTAACCAGTGTTTTTAGTATGTATTCCCCACAAATGTAGCAAAAATAATCTGAGGAATTTTTACAAGTCCGTGGCATTTTGTAACCTAAAATCACATAAAATTAATTTTAAAACAACTTTCAAACTTCTATTTTATATTTATTAATTCTACTTTAAAAAAAAATACTCAAACTACACATCAAATACTTAAATCCAATGTGGAGAGCATGAACTTTATGCAAAACTTACCAAAATATTTGATATAAAAGGTAAACAATTAAACGACAAGTTTTCACTGAACTGTTGTAGTGTCACAATGAATACTGCGCATGCGCTTATGTACTACCATAAAAATCACCTTCGGCACTTCCTTCCTTTCTCTTACAACTCTCTGAAACTCATTTTGTATGTATATTTACTTTTTGTAACGTTGACGAACGAAAAAATTGAAAAAAAAAACAAAATCTCTAAATATAAAAAAAATAGATATAGATAGAAAAAATCGGCCAACGGGGATAGATTCAAAACGTTTGAATCATTATATTTATCATAAAAAATTTTAAAGGAGGCACCTAATTAATACTTTTACTAGGTAGTGCATTATATCTAAATAAAATTAGTAACTAGATATTTTTTATGTTTAGGTATGTATGTAACACAAAATATTATAGGCTGGCACACGCTTTTAGCCGTTTTAAGAATGAAAATTTCACCTGGATTTTTCACAGTTTCACTATAAATATAGTTTCGAGTAGTTCCGATAATAAACACAAAAATTGAACATTAAACACTTAAAAAGCTAGGTTAACGAGACAAATTTGGTAAGAAATCAATGACAGATGCTTGAAATGGTTGTCGCGCATTTTGCTTTGTTTGTTGTTGTTGTTTAATTATTTATTCTGACATAACTATTGCGATTTCGGCGTCCGTATTTGGTGTAGTGTGTTTTTATAAATAAACACGCATTTTAGTAAAATGAAAAAAAGGTGATCGTTTAAAAGATATAAACGCCCAGAGTCCGGCCCTGAACTTCATCGAGACGCACGCCTCGCGCCGCAACACTTTCGTTTTGACGTCCGACGACGCCAAATTTCCCGACGGTAATCCTCCAACGGCGGCGTTTGCCTGCCGCGCGGGATTTAGATTAAACGTTATCGCCGTGTGTTTGCGCCACAACTCAATTCTCGAAAATTTCGCTAGTCGCGGCGCCCCTTTCGCTCCTTTTTATCCGGGATCGCTCGTAAGTACGACAACGTCGCATCGAAATCTCCCAACGGTCGCCAGCTCAAAAACACAAGCCGTCGATGGGATCGGTTACGCCGACGTTGCCGTCTCTTTTCGCTGCTTCCAGGGGATGGGGGAAAACCACGCGGTCTCTTAGAAGTTGCGAAACTACTTGGTTCTTATCTCAAAACGAAAATTGAAACTGTTATGTCGATACAACTCTTAAAGTACTTTTCTTTAAAGTTTTCAAACAAGACCTGTATAATATAAGCATGTTTGCAAGATATTTTCACGAATTTTCTCTTATTGCTTGCAATAATTTCATGCTCAAACAGACAAGGTTGATTAACCCAAGAGTTTTTACTAATAAAAACAGATTTAATAATACAAAACAGTTGACGAAACAGCTAAAGCGAACTATTCGATATCCAACAAATACCACTTAACTTTTAAAAATATGCGTATTATTTTTCTTTCAAAATGGCACAGGAATTTTGTTTGTCAGTTTTGAAATGCGCATGTAAAAGTGGTAGCTAAGACACAGCTTTTTGCACAACTGCTCTGCCTGGTTGATACTTTTATTTTCCGAAATTGGCATTTAATTGCATAGTCATTTTTTCCAATAAATTTACTGCAAATACAGGGAACAAAGCCTCGATCGGTGGCAACGCTGGGAGATATTATTGTGTGGCCGATGTGATTCCGTCTCGCTCCCGATCAGTTGCCGGCGCGAAACGAACGCTCCGTAAATTGTAAACCGACTCCGCAAGGTGGTTTTTGTGGCGGCGAATATTTTCCGTTTTGTTTTAAACGAGCAGCGGGGACGTGTACGCGTGAATTTTCTCGATCGAGCCGCGAAAATGTCACCGAAGTCGGTGCGTGGTAAACTCGCGTCAAGTTTTGAGGTTATTCGTTCGTGTGAAAGTCGGCCCGATGTCGCGAATTGACCTGGCGATTTTAATGAAACGTTCTTTCTTAGCGTTTTGTTTGGAAATTTGCGTCCGTGGACGATAGGGCCGAGTGAAACGGGTTCGAAATGTGCTTGTGGGGTTCAGTGTAAGGTTATTGCACCTTGAATCGGTTTGTATTTATTAGCAAAGGATTTTGAATTCGTTTACGTGGTCCGTATTTACAAAATGCTCGGAATATCCGTTGATAGCTCTCCCGATCAATGTACCGGGCGTCCTAGCAAGGGGAAATTTGAAAAAAAAAATTCGCCGAAACTTTCTTATATTAATGATACGAACGTTGTCTTAAAGCTGAGATAAATTCAGCGTTTTTATTGTTAAATATTTTTTACTATTTACTCGGGCGGAAATAAAAGTCGATAACTCCAAAACGGCTTAATAGATTTTACGAAACATGGTGTCGGTAAAAAGGGCCGAGTGAGATAAGTGCGATTGAGTAGATAGTCAAACATAAGGATGATAAAAACCCCGTCTCAATACCTTTATCCTAATCTAAAATATGAATAAAATAATTTAAAACCCGAAATAAATTTTCGTAAATATTAGTTTTTTTTACAATACCATAGACTTTATGACTATTTTGTGATATCCTTATCTGTTTTCAATCTGTATCAATTTTAAGGCGGTATTGTTTAGTAAACCAGAAAACCGAAACGTCGTACTTATAACTTGATAACGTCAACTTGTAGGCGAGTAAAAGTTGCGACG